TGTACTGGGATGCTCTGGGGTGTACTGGGGTGTCCTAAGCAGTATTGGGGTGCACTGGGATGCGCTGGGGTGTACTGGGGTGTTCTAAGCAGTATTGAGGTGTACTGGGATGCTCTGGGGTGTACTGGGGTGTTTCTAAGCAGTACTGGGGTGCACTGGGATGATCTGGGGTGTACTGGTGTGAGCTGAGGTGTTTTAAGCAGTATTGGGGTGCACTGGGATGCGCTGGGGTGTATTAGGATGTGTTGGGTGTTTCTAAGCAGTATTGGGGTGTACTGGGATGCATTGGGGGGTACTGGCATGCATTGGAGGGTTCTAAGCAGTATTGGGTTGTACTGGGATGTGCTGGGGTGTATTGGGGTGCACTGGGGTGTTCTAAGCAGTACTGGGGTGTACTGGGATACATTGGGGTGTATTGGGACGTGTTGGAGGTTTCTAAGCAGTATTGGGGTGTACTGGGGGGGATGGTAGGAGGCTGTTGCAAAGCTGCACTGGATTTGCGTGTTGGGGTGTGTTGGGGCGTACTGGGGCTGTTCTGGGGTGTTGTGGAGGTACCGCAGAGGGCCCTTGGTTGCCGGGCTGAGACTGCCGGGGGGTGACGGGGCTGTGCGCTGGGGGCCAGGGGGGCTGTGCTGGGAGGGCACTGGAGGGGTGTTGGGGCCGTGCTGGGGCCCTACTGGAGCTGTGTTAGGGATGCACTGGGGCGGCACTGGGGCAGCACTGGGGCCGTGCTGGGGCTGTGCTGGGGCTGTAGTGTCTCAACGTCCCGGGAACGGTACCAAGCAGGGCTGCCGCTGGACCGGGCTGAGCCGAGCCGTGCCGAGCCGAGCCGTGCCGAGCCGTGCCGTGCCGAGCCCAGCCGTGCCGAGCCCGGCCGTGCCGAGCCCGGCCGTGCCGAGCCGGGCCGTGCCGAGCCCAGCCGTGCCGTGCCGAGCTGGGCCGTGCCGAGCCGTGCCGTGCCGGGCCGTGCCGTGCTGAGCCGGGCCGTGCCGCAGGGGCGGGCCCGGGCCCGGCGGGCCGCTCCGGGAGCCCCGGCGGGGCCGCCGCCGCCGCCCCGGCTGCCCCCGCGCTGGGCGGCTCCCGCGGGCGGGCGGCGGCGGCGGCGGCGGCGGCGGCGGCGACATGAAGTCGCGGCGGGACAGGCTGAAGATCCCCTCGCTGACCTTGGAGTGAGTCGGGGCCGGGGCGGGGCGCGCCGGTAACGGGACCGGTCGCGGGGGCGGGCGGCGGGGCCCTGGAGCATCCCCGCCCCAGAGCATCCCCGTCCCCCCTCCATCCCCATCCCGCTCCATCCCCGTCCGGCTGTCTCCCCCCAACCCCCGCGCCGCAGGTCTCAGCCCCTTCCTCCTGCACTCACAGCCCCGGATCCCCCCCAGTGACCCCCTCCCTCCCCCCCAGCAGCACCTGACCACCCAGTATCTTTAGACCTTAGACCCTGCAGTGTCCCCTCTCTCCCCCACGGTCCTTTCTCCCTGCCCTCCTTTCCCCCCCTGGTCCCTTGGCTCCAGCCCTTGTCCCCTCCATTCTTGGACCCTGCCCCCCACCCCCCAAACCCCCCAGCCCGGCCACTGGGGTGCCCACTGGCACCCACTGACACCGCGCCGGCACATCTTGCCTTGCAGCTTGTCTCCGAGCAGCCAGAGCCCGACACTGCCCAGCCCCTGCAGCCCCTGCAGCCCCTGCAGCCCCTTACTAACCCTGCACCCCTGGAGGTAAGACCCCCACACACCCCCCCCTCCCAAAAAAAAAACCTCCCCAGGCACTGCAGCCACCAGCTCCAGGGAAGCTGCAGAGGAAAAGGTGGAGACAGGGGCTACAAGGTGGGTTCCCCCCACCAGGGATGCCAAGGGGGTTCCCAAAAGCCCTGTCGTCTACAGGGCACATGGGGTGACGTGGCTGGGGGCTGTCCCTGTGCACCCCGAAAGTGGCCTGGCTGTGCCAGTGGGCTCCATCTCTGCTACCGCCTGGTGCATTTTGGGGAGCCCCGACAGAAACGCCATTGTGGTAGCTCGAGCTCAGGCTCTGAGCATCCTCGTTTTGAGGGGGGGATCACCTCAAAATCGGACCAGGGCAGGGCGCTGTGATGGCAACAGGGTGAGAGTGGGGATGGAGCCTTCACCCCACCCAGAAACCTCCCTCACCGCCTTTTCTGCTCCACCGTGGGGGGAAGGAGGGGGGGGGCTGCCCTGGGGGGATGGGTGTCCCCCACCCAAAATGCCACAAGCCCTTTGCGGTGCCCTGCCGGGTGCTGCCATCGCGGCAACGGGTGGCCGGACCCTGCAGCACATGCCGGCTGCGCTCTGCCCCGGGGACAAGGTGCAATGGGTGTGCTGGCACCCGGTGGTGATGCCCCGGCCCCGTGGCACCTGCAGGGCAGAGCTGCAGCCTGCCCAGCACCCATGGGTGACGCTGGGTGCCTCCATCTGACTGCCGGGGAGAGCGGCTGGCACCGGGTGAGAGGGAACCGGCGGGGAGCTGTGCTGCTGCTCAGCAACAGGCAGAGCCATTTGTTGCAGGCAGGAGCCGGGGTGCTGCCTGCACTCTGCCTGCACACGGGTGGGTCCCTGCCCGCTGCCACTAGCCCTGGCTGGCCACCCCTCGCCCACGATGACTGCGTTGAAAAACAAGCGTGGCCGTGCAGTTGCCCAGCCGAGGCCTCGCGATAGGGTGTTTTTTTGGGGTGCTCACGGTGGGGATGGGGGGGTGAGGATGAGAACCCCTGGGTGCCTCCATGTGCCGGCTTCTCGATTCGGTGCTGCTGTGCTGAAACCCTGCTCAAACCCACTGGTGTTGGGATTTCTGGCCGTGGCACTGGCCAGCAAGCCGCCCGGCGAGTGCGGCGATGCCGTCCCACGGCGCTCTGGAGGTTCCACCGGTGCTGCCACGTGGGGTTTTGCCACCAGCACAGAGGATGGATGTCACTGTGTCTTTGCTCAGGATCTCCCTGATTAAATGTTAAAGCCGGCGTGGGAGGGAGGTTGTGGGGTGGCAGGGTGTTCGCCTGGGTGCTGCTGGGTGGGTGCCCTCCAGGCATGGGTGGCAGGGGAGCGGTGTTCCTCCCCCCAGGGATCCCTGGGCTTTGGGGCCGCCCCCACTGACTTGGGGAGGGGATTCAAGCCCCTCAAATGCATCAGCGATGGAAGCCGCATCTCCATGGTAACCCTGACCCCATTTTGGGGTGCTGTCCCGTCTCTATGGTAACTCCAAGCCTCCATTGTGGGGTGATGTCCCATCTCTATAGTAACCCTGACCCTATTTTGGGGTGCTGCCCCATCTCTATGGCAACCTTGAGCCCCATTTTGGGGCGCTTCCCTGTCTCTATGCTAACCCTGACCCCATTTTGGGGTGCTGCCCTACCTCAGCAGTAACCCCAAGCACCCATTTTGGGGGTGCCTCCCCCATCTCTAGAGAGATCCCGATCCCCTTTGGGGGTGCTGCTCTATGGTCACCCTGCGCCCCGGTTTTGGGGGTGCTGCCCCATGTCTGTGATAACCCCAACCTAATTTCGGGGCGCAGTCCCATCTCTACGATAACCCCGACCCCATATCAGGGCACTGCCTCCTTTCTATGGTAACACACACCCTTTTTCCTCTCCATCCCTTCTTTTTGGGGGTGCTACCCCCGTCTCCATGGAAACCCCGACCCCGTTTCGGGGCGCTGCCCGTCTCCATGGCAACCCCGCCGCCGCCGGGCGGGAAGGGGCGGGCGGCGGGAGCCCGGCCCCGGTCCCAGCCCCCGGCGCGGTCCCGGCCCCGCGCGCCCCCGGTGGCGCCGCTCGGTCGTACCGGTGGATGCGGCCGGTCCCCGGAGAAGGTGGGGCGTGGGGGGGGGGGGACACCCCGAACCACTCGCGATGTCGGACCCCAGCTGCTGGGGAGCCGCCCCGCCCGGTTACCGGGGCCAGCGGGCCGCCGGTGTCCTCCTCCAGCGCTCCAAGAGGTACCCGGGCCCTGCACCGCAGGGGGGGTGGGAAAACCGGGGTGCATGGGGGGGTGGGGGGCTTTGCACAAGGGGGTGAAGAGGAGTGAGTGGTTTGGTGGGGGTCTGAGCATCGGGGGGTGTACCGGAATGGGGGGGGGGGGCATGACCCCGTGTATGGGTGCTGGGGTGGTCTTGGGGGGGGCGGTGCACCGGCGGGCGGGGGGGAGGGTGTATTTCACCAGGGGGGCGCGTGGGTTTGGGGTGCGGGGGTCTTTCCCCCGGGGGATGCATGGTCTGAGGGGGGTCTGGGCAGTGTGTGTGTGGGGTGTGCATCGGAATGCGGGGGGGGGGAAGGCATGACACCGTGTATGGGTGCTGGTGTGGTTTGGGGGCGGGGGCTGTGCACCGGCATGCGTGGGTTGGGGAGGGTGGGGTGTCTTTCACCAGGGGTTGTGTGGGTTTGGGGGGGTCTTTGCCTCGGGGGATGCACCCTGGGATGCATGGTCGGGGGCAGGGGGGTGGGGGGGTCTGGCAGCATGGTGGTGCACACTGAGGTGTGTGGGGTTGGGGGGGAGGAGAGGTGCATCTTTTTGGGGGGGTGCTGTGCACTGAGGGTGGGGTGAGGCGGGCTGTGCATCGCAGGGCGCGTTGGTTGGGACCCCGGTGCCGTGGAGAGGGTGCAGAGTTGAGGGTCTCAGGGCATTAGGGGATGCACGTTTTGGTTTTGGGGTGCTCTGCGCCAGTCCTGGGGGGGTGGCTTGGGGCTCTTTGCAGCAGGGTGCATGTTGGGGGGAGGGGGGGGCCAGAATCTTGCATGCACAAGGGAGGAAACACCCCTGTGAGCCCCTGCACTGAGGTGGGCACCGCTCCGATGGGACGTGTCCTGTGTGGTGACATCCCCTGAGCCAGGGTGGGGGTCCCCAGGGTGCGCCGGGAGGGAGAAGGGGCCAGTCCCTTGCAGCCAGCCATGGGCAGGGCTGCAGGGGGGCAAAGTGGGGGGCAAAGGGCTCACACCCCCTTCAGCAGTGGGGCTGGGGGGGTGTCGGGGTCTGCTGCGTAAGTGGGGTGCTGGGGGGGCTCTCCCAGGTTGTCAGCTGCAATATCACGCTTGAGCCAGGCAGGTAGGTGGGACGTGTCCCCAAAAAGGGGGACAGGCAGCACTGCCAGCCCAGGGAGGGGTGCAGTGAGCACCCGCTGAGCCCCTCCGGGTGCCGGTGGCTAAGGCTGGCACCTCCATCCAGCAGATTTGGGGTGCTGTAGCTGGCCTAGGCATCAAACCCTTTCGCAGCTTTATATTAAAAAAGGTGGTTAAGACAGCGCGGAGGCAGCGGGGAGATATTCCCATTGTGAATGCCTTTTAATATTCCTGTGGGCTGGCACAGAGCAACACGGTTGCTTAGCAAATGAATCCATCCAGCACCACTCCCATCCCAGGAAGGCGCCTGCTTCACCTGGGCTGCGGGAATTATTGCTGCCGGCACACGAAGATGGGTGAGGGGGACCCTTGATAAATAAGAGAAGGAGTTGGATGGGGTTTTCCAACCTGGAGGGGCTAAGCTGGGGGAGCCATGGGAGAGATGTGTAATTGGAAAGATGACCTAGGCAATCATCTGTCTCCAGCTGAGCATGATGAGGCTATAATTCTCATGAAGGGAAGAGGATTTGTTCTTCTTTCATTGGTATTCCTACAATCCACATCGAGAATCAGTCTGGCCTATTTTTCAGCAGGCAGAAAGCATATGATGTTATTTAGTGGGATTAAGAGGTTTGAGGGATCCTAATTTCTCGTGGGGGGATGTTGAGATGGTCAGAGCAGGGCAGGACAGCCGGTGGTTCCATGGCTGATGGGGCTCTTCTCCGTGGATGCTGCTCGTGGCTGTTCACACCTCGCACACCGCAGAAAAACGTGCCAGCAGATGTAACAGGTACCATTTCCCACCCGCTAACAGGAAACTGAGGCACAGGGATGTGCAGGGTTGCACCCCAGGGCACGGGGAAGTTTCTTTAAGCTGTTTTCTTGCTGTGTGAAGAAATAAGTAAGTCTGTACCCAATATGTTACCGCGCGATCCCCTGTGAGGATTTGGGATTTTGCTCCTGGGAGGTGCCTGGTGTGTTGTTTGGTGCTCTGGGCTGGGTGAATAAGAGCATCCGCAGCGTCAGGCTTTCGGCTGGGCTGGGATGAGGGGCCAGAGCGGCTCCACAGCGCGATCCCGGGTGCCTGGGGGTTGTGAAGATGCGGTGGGGTTGTGCGTGGCCCGGGCCAGGCAGCGTGTTGCATTTCGCCATCCGCACCCCAGTCCCCAGCCTCCCCCATCCCAGCCTCCATCCCCGGAGGCATCCGAGTTCATCACCCTCACAAGTGATGGAGGAGAAATGTCTTAGAGAAACTTGGGATGCGGCTGCTCGGTTCAGCAGCTTTCGATGTGAAACACAAACTTGTCCCCACTGGAGACCGCTTTTTCCAGGTGATCCACGGCGCTTCCCCAAATCTCCAGGTACGTGAGCACTGTGTGCACTTTTGGGGGATATGGAAGAAAAATGTTATCCGCAGCCACAAGACGAAGGGAGCTGGGAGCACCGACTCGTGCTCTTTGTCACGCAGCCGGGAGCGGAGCTGCCTGCTTGCCCTTTGAGACTGCGCCCGCTCCCTTATCCCTTGAAAGGGTTATCAAGAGCTGGAACAGGCTGCCCAGGGAAGGGGTTGAGTCACCATCCCGGGAGAGGTTTAAAAGCCGTGTAGACGTGGCGCTTAGGGACATGGTTTAGCGGTGGCCTTGCCAGTGTGAGGTTTACACTTGGACTCGGTAATCTGAAAAGTCTTTTCCAACCTCAGCGATTCTCTGATTATCGGCCTGCCCCCTGCCCTCGCAGCCACGCTGCTCTCACCACCCTGTGCCTGCTTTGTCCCAAATCACCGGCTTTCTGCCCCGGTGTTCACCCGCCGGCGGTACCCGGCACCGGGCTGCCAGCTGATGCACGATGCTCTACCACCCCAGGAAGTTTTAGGGGTCAGGTCCTGCGGGATGCGGCAGCTCCTCCGTGCATTTCCCGGTGACGGCCGTGCCTACGGTCAGACGGTTTAGCGTGACCCTCAGTGCTGACTCCTTGCCACCCAGCACCGCTCGCCCGGATCCTGGCAGAGCCATTTCCCATTAGAAACATCAGTGTTGTGCTGCACAGCCGGATCCTGCCCTTCCCTCAGCTCCCCTGGGAAGCTCCCGCATTTTGCTTTGCCTGTGAGCATCCCGGCTGTGCCGTGCCAAAGCTGGGTGCTGGTGTGGGTGCTGGCAGGCGGTGGGAGGTGCTGGTTCCTCCTCGCAGGCAGCCTCGGGATGGGTGACACATTATTTTGCTCCAGGCTTCAGGGTCACACCGGCTGTCACACACTTTCCACATCCTTTGAAATAAGTGCTGGATGGCAACAGCAGCACCGGGGCCGAGGCAGCCTCAGCATGAGCAGCGCGGGGAAGTGCTGACGGCGATTTTCCACTCCATTTTTGGTACCAAATATGCAATTAGGGGATGGAGGCAGAGAGGGCAGTGAGCCCCAGCTCCTGCCTTCGGGGCTCGGCAGCTCGTCCCTACCCCAAGGCTCATTTCTAGCCCGAGGTTTCCATGCTGTGAAGGATGGAAACCAGCTGTAGATGATGCATCAGGCAAAGGGGGGTTAAAGTGGCGCAAGATGGTTGCAGAGCGGAGGGTGGAGCGTGCGGAAACAGGAAACGTCGGCCTCCCCCTGTGTCACCATTACTGGAACTTACTACATCAAAGGTTTGTTTTCACTTCCAAAATGAAACCAAGCAAGCAGGGGCGAGCCCCTCGTCCAGGGGGATGTCCCCCCCCCGCAAGACACTGATGCACATGCACCCCGGTCCCCGCGGCAGGGCTGAAAGGGTGAAGCAAAAGCCAAAGCTGCTGCTCTCTGCAGCTCAGCTCTCCTGGTTAATAAACTTTGGCTTGTGCCTCGTCGGTGGGGGAGCGGGTGCGCTTGCAGTGCCTCGGTTTCCCATCCAGCATGCAGAGCCGGCGGCAGCGAGAGGCTGCGGTTTGCTCTTGCTCCGAGGGTGGGTGCTGGGCTGTGAGTTTGCAGCTGTGGGTGCTGCAATTGGTGCTCAAGCTGGTGCTTAAGGGAGAAAAGCAAATGGAGGGGCCAGGCAGGGGTGGGAAGGTTTCTGCCTCCCCCCCCACCCTGCATTGCTCCAGCACTGAGCAGGAGGCTCTGAGCCTTCCGAAGCTGCTGCAGCTCCGAGTGAGCTCAGGGTGGGCAGGGGGTGCATGTCCCAGGGGGACACCCAGGGACTGCCTCATCCTGGGTACAGGGAGGGTGCAGCTCGCAGAGGAGGGGTTGGGGGGGGCCCCCAAGCAGCCTCCCCAGTTGGCGGCTTGGCTGAGACCTTCAGGCTTGGGCAGAAGAGTTGGGGCTCCCCGTTTTAGGGTGGGAGCAGGAGGAATCCCGTGGAGGGGAAGTGCCAGCAGGAGGTGATGGGGTGCACGGCTCTGGCCACATGTGTGGGCATCTGACCATGAGTGCAGGGCTCTGATCACACGTGAGGGGCTCTGGCCATGTGTGTGGGGCTCTGATCACACATGTGGGGCTTTGGCCACATGTGTGAAGCTCTGACCACGCATGTGGAGCGCCGACCATGCATGCGGGGCTCTGATCACGTGTGAGAGGCTCTGGCCACACGTGTGGGGCTGCGGCCACGTGTGCAGGGCTCTGATCACACGTGAGGGCCTCTGGCCACACATGTGAAGCTCTGACCACGTGTGTGGAGCTCTGACCATGCATGCAGGGCTCTGGCCACACACGTGAAGCTCTGGCCATGTGTGTGGGGCTCTGGCCACACGTACGGGGCTCTGGCCACATGTCGCCAGCGTTGCCCGCACATCGGTGCCCAGTACATCTGTCTGGAGGGACGATGTGTTGCAACACAGAATTCTTTGCACCCCAGATACCACATCTGCCATTCGCTTCTGTTTTGGAGGTCTGGGGAGAATCCCTTCGCTCCGGGGTCCATTCTCTTGATTTTGCGGGTGTATCTGGCCATGGCGTGATGTTAAACGATATCCTTTAGTTACTGGCATCCATGTCGATTCCCATTCCCAGTCTGGCAAGGAAATTCAACATTGCCTTTGCAGAATTTGCAGCCTGAGGAAGCGCAGATAGAGGAAGGGGAAGGTTGTCCTCGTGCTTGAACTTCTACTCTGCACTGTGGATGTCTGTAATTTCCTTTTGGCAGAGTAAAAGAGAACTTAAATGAGCTAATCATGTTTTAAATGGGGTTGAGATGGGCTGCATACAGCAGGAGTGCGACTGCAGCATCCCTGAGGGCAGGTGAGCTTGTGGAGGCTGGGCCACGATTTCAAGGCAGCCTTGGGCTCAGGGCTTGGAGAGGAGCTGAAAGGAAAAAGGAAATTCCTGCAAGAGGGATTGAACTCTTGTGGGTTGTGAGGGTGGGAATGGAGATGGTGATATGGAGACCCAGCGCTTGTGGACGTGGCCTTTCAGTTGGTCCAGAGGAGCTCTGTGGGATGCTGGGGCACGGCACTGTGATGGGAGTTCTGGGATGTTTGGGGTGTCGAGGTGCCAGTGCAGTCAGCATGGACCTGCTCATGGTGCTGCTTTTCACTGGTGCTGGCACACGTGGCTTCTTCTTGCTGCCTGCTGGAGCGCAGACGAGCCAAACCTCTGCCACGGCATCGCAAACACCCAGCAACACCACAAGGTCTCAGGGGGCCGGGGACCAACTGTCCTCCCACTGTGGCAGGGGGACCACCAACTGTAGGGAGGTTTATAGGAACTGGGGGGCATTTTCCACACAATGGAGCAGGTTGGGTTGTGGCCGCTTGGCATTTCCATCACTTCCTTCTTTCACATCCCTTTTTCTATTCCTGCTCTCGGCCCGTCGCCCAAGGGGCCGCCTGCCTCTGTCCTCCCCAGTGAGACAAAACCAGAAGTGGGACCTCGACGAGACAGTTCGTCGTTAAAAATAACCCTGTCGGTACGTCTCCGGCAGCACTGAACTGGGGACGGATCTTCCCTGCGGTGGGAGATCCATACTCACTGGGGTGACACCACCTGTGTCCCCTGGCACAGGGCATCACGTACAAGTGGACCTGTATGTGCCTGAGCCCATCCAGCCCTGCCAGGCCTTTGCTTTCCCAAATTAATTCCTTCTTTTTCTTCCTTAGTTGCCGAAGCAGCAATAGGAAGAGCTTAGTGGTGGGCACCCCCTCTCCGACCCTCTCGCGGCCTCTCTCCCCGCTCTCTGTGCCAACAGGTAAGGGATGCCCCAGGGGGATGGGTTAAGCATCTTCCAAAATTGCCCCAGTATTTTGGAGGGGCAGCATGGGACCCTCCTGTTTCTGCAGCACCCTGTTAGCAGCAGCGGGCTGGCTCCTGGCTGCGAGTGCCTTTTCCAGGAAGGAAAAGCTTGGGAAGCAATTTAATCCCTCTTTCCCCTGAAGGAACAGCCTGCAGCACCCCAGGGTGGGTATCGGGGTGACTTTTCCCCCTTTCTCTCTGCAGCTGGGAGCAGCCCCTTGGACAGCCCACGCAACTTCTCCGCCAGCACCTCCATCAACTTCCCCTTCGCTCGCAGGTGAGCTCCCAGCCCCCTTCCCAGACCATTAAAATTCACCACTAATTAAAATTCACCACCTAGGACTGCTCTGTTGATCTCAAGTGATTTGTTTTGATTTTTTTTTTTTGGGCTTTTTTTCTCCCTGATTTTTGGTCTGCTGTTGTTTGCTCTGCTGTGACCGGTGCCTCCCACCACCCCAGCCATGCTCCTCGGACTGACAGGCAAGTACTGGGGACGGGCTGGGGCTGTGTTCCGGGGAGGTGTCTTCTCTTCATCAGCACAACCCTTGTGTGCATCCCTGGCTGGGAGATTTTGCTCTGGGACCACATTTCCTGCAGCTCTGGGACCACATTTCCTGCAGCTCTGGGAGCAAAAATATCCCTGTTCTCATCACACCGTCCCCAGCCACGAGCTCAGCCCCAGCTCGGACCTGCTCCGAGTGCTTCAGCTGGATGCTCAGCAGATGTCTGGGGACGGATGCTCGGCTGGGTCCCCACGGAGGCAGATCTTGCTGCATCCCTTCCCCAGCCTGTGCTGCTTGAGACGCAAAATCCTGTTTAACTAATTAATTAATTGCACACATGGGGGCAGACAGCTGATTTTAAACCATCGGCCGTCACATGGAAAAAAGCTGGAGGCTTTACAGATGGTTTTCACGCTTGTGACAGAATGAAAAGCCAAACTGCAGGGCCGAGGGTTTGCGAGTCTGCCGGCAGTGAGGGCACGTGGTGATGCTGGATCCGGCACCCTGCCAGCTCCCACCGGCCTTGGCCCCGCACGGGAAACGGCAGCGAGAGGTGAAGGGCTTTATCTTGACGTGGACGTTGCCCCATCCATTAGAAACGTCTCCAAGAGGAAGCATTCGCTTATGTACGAGTGGTTGCCTTCCTGTTTATAACCGGGCTCTGCGCCGCGGCGCCTGTTGTCTCAGGACAGGTCTTTAGGAATGAATCATCCCAATTTCTCATAGAACAAAGTCTCAGGAGGCTGAATTTTGCTCTAATTAAAAATCAGATTCTCATGGGTTGTGGTTTTGTCCATCTGAAACGGATTTGCCACCTAACCAACCCCCAGCACTGTCCCTTCGTGGGGACCCTGCTCGCTGTCACTGTCCCCTGCACGCCAGAGTTGCAGAACAGCCCACCTCACCTCCAAACCCCTCTTATTTCACCCAATTCCAGTCCATTCTGAAAAGAGATTTCAGGGTGTTATTATTCAAGCCAAACCCATGTCCTTTTCCCCATCCTTATCACCCTGATGTTATTTATTTGCATTTAGATGTTGTTTTTTTTCCCGTGTGTGATCCACTCACAGGGCTGATGGCAGAAGGTGGTCACTGGCTTCGCTACCCTCCTCTGGCTATGGGACCAACACCCCCAGCTCCACTGTCTCGGTAACATTTGCTTTCTCATGGCAGCAGGCGAGAAGAACCCAAACCCCTTGATTTTTGGTGAAATACCCCCTGAGCCCTGTGGAGTCAGTTCCTAGGCAGCCCCTCTATTCCTAGAGGACCGTGTGCTTGAGCTACATTGTGCTTTCCAAATGTGCTTTTAAGAAAGCTGTAGAGTCTGGCAGATGGCTTACAGCATCCCTGGGCGTTACAGCATCCCTGGGCGTTACAGCATCCCTGTGTGTCGTGCGTTGGCGTGCACGGGGCACATCCTGCCCGTGCAGGGGAGTGGCCGGGCAGGAGCCGCCCGCGATGCTGCGGGTACAAGGGAAGGGGCTCAGCGGAGCCAGGATTGAGTGGGAAAGCAGGGAGAGGTTTGGAGTGGGTGTGGGCAGCATGTTTCATGTTACCAAGCGCAGAACATGCTGCCCATCAATGTTTTCTGCCTCCTAAGAGGCTCTGAGGACTATTTTCCTCACAGGCTTGATGATTTCCACCCCCAGTGCCGGGAAGCAGGAATCCATCTCCTGCTCCCCTGCATCTCTCTTTCTTTCCAGTCGTCTTCATCCTCCCAGGAGCGCCTGCACCAGCTGCCGTACCAGCCCACTCCCGATGAGCTGCATTTCCTTTCTAAGCATTTCCGCAGTACGGAGAGCGTCACGGACGAGGAGGGGCGGCACTCGCCCTGCCTGCGCCCACGGTCCAGGAGCCTCAGGTACAGCACCCACTGTGGGGAGCACCCACGGTGTTGCCAGGATGACAGACTGGGTGCTGGCACGTCCAGCACATCCTCTGCCCTCTCGTGAGCTGTTCCTGGGATGTCCTGGTCCTGCTGAGCCCATCTCAAGGTGTTGACCCCCACACGGGTTTTCCCTTTGCAGGGGAGTGGAGAAGTTATGGCTTGAAGTTGTAGATGCCCCATCCCTGGAAACGTTCAAGGTCAGGTTGGACGGGGCTCTGAGCAACTTGATGTAGTTGAAGATGTCCCTGCTCATGGCAGAGGGTTGGACTAGATGACCTTTAAAGGTCCCTTCCAACCCAAACCATTCCGTGAGTCTATGATTCTATGATCCTAAGCTCTGTGATTTTGGGAGTTAAGGTCTGGTTCTCAGCATCTTCTTGGCTGTGGCATTGCTCTCCTGGCAGCACATGACACCTGAGAGTGAGGTTTCCTGGGCCTGAAGTCAGAGAAAGTGAGATTTCTTCCAAAACAGTTGGTTTGCAGCTTCTTGCTCATTTATCTCAAAGGTTTTGGGGGAGAAAAGGGGACTGCAAAGCAGAAGCCCAAGAAGTGGCTGTCCTTGCAGGGGATGGCTGGGAGGCCACTGGCCTGACATGCCGTTAAAATGTTAAAAATCACATTTCTGGGCTTGGATTGGGAAACATTCTGTGTTTGCTGGGTCTGAGCATCAGCCTGGCCTTTGCTTCTGCAAAAAACAAGGAACGCAGGTGGACAGGCATTTGTGGGCTGGAGAGAGGAAAATTTGGAGAGAGCATCAAGTCAGCGGCTGTAGCATCATTCAGGCTGACCCTACAAACCTGCTGAGCTCCATGATGCTGCTTCAAGACCGTGCCCCACTCAAGGAGCCGGTCACATTTCCACTCATCCAGCACCAGGAGCTTGTGCTTTTTACAGGGAAGGTTTCAGTTAAATCTTCTTTTCTCACTGAAAAAGGTCCCAACCCTCTTTGCACTGGAGGCAGAACCATAGCTCTGCATGTTGCCAGCTGAAATTTCATTAAAATCAGATTAATTATCTGACAGGGTTTTGCAGGTGGTGAGGATTTCACCAAGGAAATGCCAGCTCTGCAGTCAGCACGGCACGGCAAAGACTGAGCTGGGGCTGGGCTGGGACTAGCAGCAAGTGGCTTGGGTCTGGTTTTAATTGCTGCATTTATTATATAGTGGTTAATGAGTTGCTGGCCGCTCCTGTGATGTGCTTTGCATAACGGGATCACCAGGCAGAGGCCTGAGAGAGGCAGTGTTGGGTGAGGGTAAGAGAGAAACCTTGTTTAATGAAGGTTCCCGCATCCACCACAGGGTTTGGTTGGGGTTTTTTTTGCTGGTGAGCTGCAAAAAGGGCAACAGTGGCAAGAAATTGTGAGATGCAGAGGATGGAAAGGGTGAGCTCACTCTTCAAAGTCAAGTCGACTGGTAGACCAATCTCTCAGCTATGGATTTTCAAGTGACTTGCGTTTGGAGGACTCAAATGAAGGACTCAGGGACCTCCAGATCCATGCATGGTGGGAGAGATGCTGCTGGAAGTGCTGGCCTGAGGCCGATGGCTCCACTTGGATGAGCTTTAACAGCTTGGGACAGAGAATTAGGAGGGAACAAATTGTTCTCCAGGTGTAGTAGTTATTTACATAGATGTAAATCACTTGGACCTTGTAATGCAACTGGTTTCCTCTCTCCACAGCCCTGGACGGACGAGTGGAACGTTTGATAATGAGGTTGTGATGATGAACCATGTCTACAAGGAGCGATTCCCCAAGGTAACTGCTGGGACTGGGGAGGATGAGCCTCTGTGGAATCCTGGCAGCATCTTCTCCAGAGCAACCTCTTCTCCATGCTGGAATATAACATGCATGGGTAGATGTACCAGGGGGTATTGTAGGCCACTGGAGATGTGGTCATGAACTCGAAGGCAGGAGCCTGCAGGTCTGCATCATCACACATGCAGGCAGTGGTCTCTGGAGACTTTGGTGGAGCTTCTCCATCCTGCTGGAAGCTGGGTCCTAGGGTGTGCAGGTGGATATTGGAGCTCTGGGAGGTGGTAACATGAGATCCTGGCTGGACAAACCCAACGCAGGAGGTAGTAGCATGAGATCTGGGCTGGTTAAACCCAACACATGGTATGGGAGCACATGTTCCTGGGCATCATCATCCATTCTGTCTTGCAGGCCACGGCCCAAATGGAAGACCGTCTGCAGGACACCATCAGAAACTTCTCTCCAAGCAGCACTCTGCCGCTGGCAGACGGGGTGCTGGGCTTCATCCACCACCAGATCATCGAACTGGCCCGCGACTGCCTGGCGAAATCCCAGGGAGCTCTCATCACCTCCCGCTACTTCATGGAGCTGCAGGAGAAACTCGAGAAGATGCTGCGAGATGTGAGTACAGGACAGTTCCCTGCCTGGTGTCATCTCCTGAGGCCACCGATAGATGCCTGGCTTCTGTCTCCTCTCTGTCAGGCTCAGGAGCGTTCAGAGAGCGAGGAGGTGAAGTTCATTGACCAACTGGTGAGGAAGCTGCTGATCATCATCTCCCGTCCTGCTCGCCTTCTGGAGTGCCTGGTAAGACATGGCAGCTCCTGATGTGTCTTGTCTTTCCCGAGGCTTTGCCTCCTCTCTGGGCAGGCGTGGACCATGAAAGACAAAGCATCTTTTCACCACCTTGCATGGTTCAGCATGGGAACTGCTGCTCCTCACCATCCTCGTCAGGCCGTAGCAAGGAGCTAAGACCATTTCTAGCATTAAAGCCATTTCTCAGAGAGGAGAAGCTAGTTTTTCCTAGCAGAGTAGGGAGATGTGAACTTCCTGGCAAGCTTTCTCATCCATTTTCAGGGGGTTTTTTAAGTGTTGTGCTGAATTTCTAAAGCACTCACCTTTGTGTGGTGGTTCTTGGAGCTGGAAGAAGGATCCGTGATGACATGTGCTGCTGGTGTGTTCTCCTTGGTTTCCCCTCCAAGGCCAACTCTTGGGGCTACATTTTTTTCCCATCAATCCTTTACATGGGGAGCGATGGGGGAATGATGCTAGAAACTGGATCAGAGTGTTTAGTTTTCTCCTGCAAGCATCCAGAGCCTGTCCGGAATTACGGGTGTCACCTGCAAGGCTTAGAGGAAAGTCTTGCTCCTCAACTGTGTTTGGTTTTCCCCATGCAGGAGTTTGATCCAGAGGAGTTTTACCATCTCCTGGAAGCTGCAGAAGGACACGCCAAAGTTGGCCAGGGAATAAAGACCGATATTCCCCGCTACATCATCAGCCAACTGGGGCTTGTCAAGGACCCGCTGGAGGGTAGGGAAGAGCTTGGATTGGTGGTCCCAAGGCCTGCAGTGGGATGTGGACCCCCAGTTTGGCCGCTGGCGAGCATGAATGAACACTGGAAGGTGGCAGGGGGACCAGCAGAGCTGAGCTGGTGTCATGGGGTGGGTCACAGCAGGACCAGGATGGTGTCCAAATCTCCTGGCCAGCCCCACATCCCTCATTATTGCTCCCACCATGTTCAGCAAAGCAGCTTAAGCTCAAGAACGCTTAATCCATAGGAAGCCATGGCCTTGGTGGGGGAACCATAATCCCCAAAGAACACAGGAATGACTACAGAAAAAAAGAGAATTATATAAATGCTTAACCTCATGTTGAACCTCTTAATGCCATGACCTGAATTTCTCCATACGATAGCTCGAGCAAAGTGTGTGGCTAAATCCCCACGGGATCTCCAAGTTTAGAGAGAGAGTGGTTGGTGGGGGGGTTATTTTGGTGGGGGTTGAGCATGAAGAAGGTGAAAACTATCCCTATCTTCTGCAGAAATGGTTCATCTGGATCACTTCGACAGTGGGAACACCATCACACCAGAGAACGATGATGCCTGTGAGGTGAGCACAGCCCTACCTGCATGTCCCTCCTGCTGCCTCCAGCTTCATCCTGCCTCACCCCACACCAATGCTCCTTGAAGCAGCTCCTCTGCTATCTTAGGCTGGGAGACGTTAATTTGGGTTGTCCCCAGGGGTGACTGTTGTATTCAGGTGTAATATCTCACAGTCCCACGTCTGGCTTCTTGAGTGGACAGAGCTCAGAATGAGCTCTTTATCTGCAGAGCATCTTGGTCTTCTGGTTTGGGGTTTGTGGCTGGAGAGGGCTCAGGAAGGGATGTCCTCTGGCAACAAGGAGTTATTCGGAGGTGATATGTGATGGTTCTCGGTTAATTCCTGCCTGCTCTGAGAGCACTGGCATGCCAGTAAAAACATTGAAAACGTTCTGTGTCTTCTTCAGAGCCAGCCTTTGGCCACCGCTCCTCGGAGGAAGCCCTGCGAGGGGGACTTTGAGACCATCAAACTGATCAGCAATGGGGCTTACGGGTGAGTTGGGAAGTTCCTAACACTTGTCTCCATCTGTAAACATCTCCAAAGTCCTCCCTGTCCGAGCCCTGTGGTGCTGTGTGGTTGGTCCTGGTGGTTGGAGGACATGTTTTGAGGTCCAGCCATTTCGCTGTCTCTTAGGGCCGTGTACTTGGTGAGGCACAGGGAGACGCGGCAGCGTTTTGCCTTGAAGAAAATCAACAAGCAGAACCTCATCCTGAGGAACCAGATCCAGCAGGTGTTTGTGGAGAGGGACATCCTCACCTTCGCAGAGAACCCCTTCGTGGTCAGCATGTTCTGCTCCTTCGAGACAAAGAGACACCTCTGCATGGTGATGGAGTACGTGGAAGGTGAGAAGGGGATTCGGGGCTGGATGCTGCAGTGAGGGAAGGATATCAATGTCTGAGCATGGATGACACCACCCAGCCATCTTCTGCCCTGCTTTGCTCCAGGGAGCGGAGGAAAGCATGAGGAGATGCTTTTGTGATCCTGAGTCTCATGTTGATGAAGGTGGTGGCCATGCTCACCTAAGAGAGCATTTGTGCGCTCCATGCCTGGGGATCAGTGCTGCTCCAAGGAGGGATGGGAGGGTCTGGCCGGGAGCCTGCTTGGCAGGAGAAGCAACGTAGCCCTGCCTGCTGACCTCCCTGCCTTCTCTGAGCCTCCTGTGCTCAGGAGGACCCATGTCCCCACAGGGGGGGATTGTGCCACGTTGCTGAAGAACATGGGCCCGCTACCTGTCGACATGGCAAAGATGTACTTTGCTGAGACCGTTCTCGCACTGGAGTATCTCCACAACTACGGCATCGTCCACCGGGACCTCAAACCCGACAAGTGAGGATGTGGGTCAGGTCTGAGCAAGGATGGGATTGGGTTTGCGTGGGGAGGGGAAAGGGTCTGATGCAAGACAAGGGGATATGGTAAATGAGGTCATGGGTTTTGGTGCCCAAAAATCTGGTTCTGTGCTGTTTCACCAGGGCCAGAGGTCCTGGGGTCCGGCTGGTCCTGGTCAGGTCTCCCCAGAAGCAAACAGCATCATTGTGGGGCATCTGCCTTCTCTTGCAGTTTGCTCATCACCTCCATGGGACACATAAAGCTGACAGACTTCGGCCTATCCAAGATCGGCTTGATGAACATGACCACCAACCTCTACGAAGGGCATATGGAGAAGGACACTCGGGAGTTCATGGACAAACAGGTACAAGATCCTGCTCTGCTCGGCCAGTCTCCCATCACCAGGGACTGGAATAGCCCTGGGACTTGCCGCAAAGGTCATTGCAGAGGTATCAGCCACTACTTCCCACGCAGGTGTGTGGCACTCCGGAGTACATCGCCCCAGAAGTCATCCTCATACAGGGCTATGGGAAACCTGTCGACTGGTGGGCCATGGGCATCATCCTCTACGAGTTCCTCGTGGGCTGCGTCCCCTTCTTCGGAGACACCCCTGAGGAGCTCTTCGGGCAGGTCATCAGCGGTGAGTGTCGGTGGCAGCTTTGCTCCCTGGTTCCCAGCAGTCATGGCTCATCCTTAACATGTGGAGAGCTTCATTTCATACTCAGTTGAATGGCGAGTATGAAATGAAAGCTCCTCAAGCTTTGATTTCCCAGTTTGGGGGGATGCTTTCACCTGCTGCAGCTCCTGCCCTCTTCCTCTCACCCAGAAGTGACTTCTGCAACCTCGCATCATCGCAACCCCTGTTGTGTCCAAAGTCTTCCAGCCACTTCAATCTCCTTTTCCTTTTTCCTTGCAGATGAAATTATGTGGCCAGAAGGGGACGAGGCTCTTCCCGCGGATGCCCAGGACCTGATCACGCGGTTGCTGAGACAGTGTCCCCTCGAGCGCTTGGGCACCGGTACGTGTGGCAGCCCCCACGCAGCGGATGACCTGGCACCCCAATTCAGATCAAACTTGTGTGTCCTGCCGCGTTGAGGATGCTCGGAGGAGGTCCCTTGCTTGGAGTTTGCCCTGGGAAGGCAGCGCGGGGCTCTGGTCCATCCCGTTTTAAGCCCTTTTCTCTGCACAGAGGAGAGACTGTGCCATTCGGGTCGGCAGTGGGAGCATCCCGGAGCTTGCCCTGTCCCCCTGACGCGGGTTTCTTGGCTTGGCAGGGGGTGCACATGAGGTGAAGCACCATTCCTTCTTCCTCCATCTGGACTGGAACGGGTTGCTGCGGCAGAAGGCTGAGTTCATCCCCCAGTTGGAGTCTGAGGATGACACCAGCTACTTCGACAGTGAGGCCAAATCCATCCCCTTCCTCCCCAACCCCCCCACCAATCCGTTATCCCAGCTGCAGGTTGGATGCTCCCACAGGAGACGAAAATCTCCTGGGTGAAGTTGGTTGCTTCACAACCAAAGTCACAAAAGAGATGCAATCCTGTTTCCAGGCTGCTCAGCCTTACCAAAAGCCTTACTTTCTCACCCCAAAACTCTCCTGGGATTCTGGACCAGGAGCTCCCCACGGGCACAGGTCCCACTGGGGTCCCGTGGGCAGGCAGGACACGGTGTGTTGCAGGCAGGGTGACAGCCCTGCCTGCTCTGGCTCTTGCTTTCAGCTCGCTCCGAGAGGTACCGCCACTTGGATTCCGAGGATGAAGAGACCAATGACGAGGAGTCATCCGTGGAGATCGGACAGTTCTCCTCCTGCTCCCATCGCTTCAGCAAGGTGCTCCAATCCCTCCTCCGGCACGCGAAACAGCAGGCGCTGTGACTGGCACGGTTGTGCCAAGCTTCATTGTCCTGGCTGATGCTGGAGAGCCTGAGCATTCCCAAATTTCTGCTCCTTCCTGACGGCTCATCTCCTCCTCAGGTGTACAGCAGCTCTGAATTCCTGGCGGCTAACTCCAACCTCAGCCTCTCGTCCTCCGACCGGAGTCACAGCGAGGACAAAGAGGAGCGATGGGACAGGCACTCGGGAGATGAGGACAGGAGCCGGCTGGCGGGCACAGAGCCCCGGTGCGTGCTGAGACGGGGGATGCCACGCTGGTGGGGGTTTGTGCTGGCATCGAGGGTTTGTGCTGGCATCGAGGGTTTGTGCCGGCATCGAGGGTTTGTGCTGGCATCGAGGGTTTGTGCCGGCATCGAGGGTTTGTGCCGGCATCGAGGGTTTGTGCCGGCATTGAGGGTTTGTGCCGGCATCGAGGGTTTGTGCCAGCATCAAGGGTTTGTCCCAGCACCAAGGGTTTGTGCCGGCATCGAGAGTTTGTGCTATCACGGAGGGTTTGAGCTGGCATCAATGGTTTGTGCTGGCATCAAGGGTTTGTGCCGGCATCAAGGGTTTGTGCTGGCATCAATGATTTGTGCTGTCACTGAGGGTTTGTACCAGCATCAAAGGTTTGTGCTGGCTCTGAGGGTTTGTGTCAGCATCAAGGGTTTGTGCCAGCACTGAGGGTTTGTGCTGTCACTGAGGGTTTGTGCTGGCAAAGGTGTCGGTGGGACATGGCTGGGGGTGCTGCAGGGGCTCCGTGCCACCCCCCTCGCTCATTTGGGGTTGTCCCGAGCCCTCCTGCTCTCCCCATACAGGCTCCGCTCCTGGACGTCCTGCAGCTCCACGCCATACACCTCCCGGCACGAGCGAAGCCGCAGCCCCGCCGCACTGCCCAGCACCTACAGCCTGGACACCATGCCCAAGTTTGCCTTCTCCTCGGAGGATGAAAGCCCTTGCGTGGCATCCTCCAAGCCCGAGAGACCCAAATTTGTGCTGGGAGACCCTGACGCGGGGACCAGCAGCGTGGTGAAGCCATCGGCACTATCCGGTGCGTAGCCTGCGGGTGCCAGTGCAGGATGCTCTGGGACCAGCCAGGGTCCCACGTGGCATAGGGTGGCTTCTTCGTGTCCCCAAACTCTCCCTCCGCTCCTCCACATAGCCGATCTCGTCAGCCTGAACCGCATCCGCCTCCGGAGCAACAGCACCGGCACCAAAAATTCAGCTCCGCGGGGTCTGGAGCCAGGCGGGAGCCGCCGGTTGAGCAGCCAGAAGGATGTGCCGGACAGGCAGAGAACTTCACCGGGCAGCCGCGTCCCGAAATCTGCCTCTGTCTCAGCCCTGTCCCTCATCATCACATCAGGTCCGTGTGCCGTGCAGTTTATTCTGGCAGATGGCAGGTACTGTGTGGTTTTTCCGGGCTGAGCCGGCTTCTCCCGCTTGCAGACGACTTCGGTGGCGGTGCCCTGATGAGCCCCATCTCCCCCCACTCCCTCTCCTCCAACCCTTCTTCCCGTGACTCGTCCCCAAGCCGAGATTCGTCCCTCGCCATCGCTAGCCTACGCCCCCCCATCATCATCCACAGCTCGGGCAAGAAGTACGGCTTCACCCTGCGAGCCATCCGCGTCTACATGGGGGACAGCGACGTCTATACTGTCCACCATATGGTCTGGGTACGTGTGGGGAGGGATGGGCGGTGCTGGACACTGCGTTTGTCCACGGGAAAACCCCAGGAAGAAACTGAGGCTTGCATCCGAATAAAATCTTGGTCTTTTGATTGCAGAGCGTGGAAGAGGGGAGCCCTGCGCAGGAAGCGGGGCTGAGAGCGGGTGATCTCATCACACATGTGAATGGCGAGTCAGTGCTGGGTTTAGTTCACCGGGATGTCGTGGAGCTGCTGCTGAAGGTGAGTGACCAGAGCTGTTCTCCTCGCCCTGTGCTGGCACATCAATCCAGCGGCTCCTCAGCATCGCCTTCGCTGGCAGCCGAGGTGGGAGCCAGTTGGGAGCTGGTGCTTGGACTGCGGTGACTCATTTTCCTCCTCTCAGAGTGGGAATAAAGTGGCCCTGCGGACCACTGCCCTGGAGAACACCTCCATTAAAATCGGCCCTGCTCGGAAAAACAGCTCCAAAACGAGGATGGCACGGAGGAGTAAGAAGAGCAGGAAAAGGGACAGCCAGGACAGGTGGGTAGAACCGAAGTGGGATAAAATGTCATTTGTCTTGGTGTGTCCTTGAAGCTGGAGGGCGGGGGTGCACCAGCTCTGCCATACTGGGGGGGTCCAGTGGGGTCCAGTGCTGCCAGCACCAGCTTGGCAAACTCATGACCATCAGCTTTAAGAAGTTGAGGCTTTTCCTTTTCCCACCACCTTTGTCCTCACCAACCCCCCCCCAGGAGAAAATCCCTTTTCAAGAAGATCTCCAAGCAGTCGTCGGTCCTGCACACCAGCCGCAGCTTCTCCTCGGGTCTCCATCACTCGTTGTCCTCCAGCGAGAGCCTCCCGGAGTCCCCCACACATAGCCTGTCCCCGGGTCCCACAACACCCTGCCGCAGCCCCGCTCCCGACCTGCCCCCAGGTACCCCAACCCGTGCCGGGGAGGGGTTGGGGAGGGGGGAATATTTGCTCCGGCTGCAGCGGAGATGCCATGTGTCCCTCCATCCCCTGCGGTGACCTGTTTCTCTTTGTGTGGCAGATGCTGTGTCCCCGCAGAGCACCTCTCCCTCCTCCAGCACCCCAACGTCACCCGCCGGCCACGTGCGCCCCAGCTCCCTGCACGGGCTGGCGCCCAAACTGGGCGGGCAACGCTACAAAGTGGGACGTCGCAAATCCACCAGCAGCATCCCCCCCTCGCCCCTCGCCTGCACCCCTTCTTCCGCCCAGCGCCCACCTTCTCCCCAGCGCTCCCCATCCCCGCTCCCTGGATACCCCAAAACCCCTCATTCCTTCCAGGGCAAGACCCTGTCCCCCCCCACCATCGTCCGGCAGAGCTCACGCCCCCGCAGCGCCGACTGCCCCCGCTCCCCCCTCCTCAAACGTGTCCAGTCGGCCGAGAAAATCGTCACCATCCTGGCAGAGAAGAAAACCGGCGGTGGCCGCAAGCTGGGGCTGGAGATGCCGACGATGGACGGGGAGGCCATTGGGGAGGGCGAAGCGCCGGCGTACCACGGGGAGCATGGTTATCACCCCACCAGCTCCCGGATTGGCGAGAGGCACGACCGGGACCAGGAGGTGGTGGTCATGCGGCGCTTGAACCTCTCTGAACGCCGGGACTCCTTCAAGAAACAAGAAGCAGTTCAAGAAGTGAGTTTCGATGAGCCGGAGCCGGTACCGGCAAGCGAAGACGGCGGCAAGGGTGAAGCCGGGGAGGGTGTAGCTCGCCAGGACGGCGGCACGGAGCCGAAGCCGAAGCCTAGCCCGGTCCCGCAGATCGCGGTGCAGGGCTCCGAGAGCGATGAGCAGGAGCCGGCGGCGGCCGAGTGGGAATGCCAAGGCTCCTACCCCATCGGCAACGCCGAGCAGCCCGACGGCGGCATCTCCTCGCCGCGGTGGGATGGGTGCGAGCGTTGGGACCGCGGCTCCCAGCAGCACCGGAACTGCGGGGAGAGGGCAACCAGCCATCGGCAACCACCGCGGGTGCCGCCGGTGCCACCGGCACGGGGCCAGGAGCCGGTGGGTGCTCAGCTCCCAGCACCCCGGGGCAGCGCATGGAGCGGGGCCAAACACGCCTGAGCCCCACGCCGGCACCCCGGGGACGGTTCAGGCTCCCCATGGCACCCCGCCACCTCCCCAGAAAACCCATCCTGCGTGGCATAGCCATGAGAGAAGTGTCCCCAGAGCTGTTTTGGACGTCGGCGCTGGCCGGGGTGGCTGCGCCCCGGCACTTCGCCTCCCCCGAAGGCTTTTTGTACTCCCTGAAAGATGCTCATATTTTTATAGAGACATGGGAGCTTTTCCGGCAGCGCTGTTTCCCCGGCAGGGCCCCAACCTTTGTGTATAGAAAAGACTGGATGCAAATATTCGTTAATTAATTTATTACTTTTTATAAGCTAATTGGGCAGTGCAGGACTGTCACAGGGTCCAACCTGGCCCTGGGGGGGGTCCAAGGCTTTTCCATGTGTCTCCTAGCCGGATGACACGCTGTTTTCTAACCTTGCAAAAACCCACTCACTTTTCCCCACTTTTTAACTTCAGTTTTAGCTGAAAACACCCCAAATCTCCTAAGAAACCCCCGGGGGGCAGGGGAGGGGGCTGGGTAGTTGTAATATTTAAAATTTAAAAAACCAAAACCCCACAGCAACATCCCCCAGACACTGGCAGCCCAAGCTGGGATGCATATGGGCGACTTTATATGCATATGGTTTATGGTATAATGATGCATTCATTTTATAAACGTATAGCGGATGTAAAGGTTTTAATTTATTTTTTTTCGGAGCCATTTGGAGCCACCCGGCTCCGTCAGCCCTTCCAGGCGGGAGAAGCAGAGACCTCCCCGTGGGATCAGCAACTAAATGCGAAGGATTAACAGGATTTTTAGGGTCGGTTTTCGCTCTTTGCATTTCTTCTGCCACCACATCCCACGGTTTTCATCCATCGGTGCATATGGACATCTGTAAAAAGGCAGTATTTTAAATATTTTTTTTTAAAAAACCCAACCCAGCAAGCACCTGTGCTGCTGCTTCGTTTGCAATTTGGAAATTTCACACACACACCCCCCCCCGCCCCGCCGCTTTTTATCCAACAAACTACAGCTCAGCCCAGCATTTCCCTCCCGTTTCTACTGTTTTCTATGATATAAACGTTTCCATTTGATAATGCATGTACTGGCTTCCCCCCTCACCGCAGTTTGCTGTCCCGGTGCTTTGAGCACCGTGCCGGTGATGGCGGGGGGGGGGGGACTGGCCCCGGTTTGCCCACCCCCCTGCCATCGAGCATCACTGTGGCGCCGACAGGCACCTTTCCAACCCCAAAGCAACCTGGCAGATTTTTTGGCTGCGTCTTGACTATTTTGTGAGCGTGCGGTTTGTGTCAGGCTCCACATCCTGCTTCTGCCCCACTGTTAAACTGGTGCTGTTTAACCCCCCCCCCTCCCCAAAAATGAGCAGGCGGAGCTGCTCAGCATTTCCTTTGCTTCTTCCTCCACCATCTGTACTAAGGTTTTGAGAAGGAAGCAGGGTTTGGAGGAGACACCGGGCACCCCCAGCCCACCAGGAAAGCAGGGCTTGGCCACGCACCAGTAGCATGGATATGGTGGGAAAATGAGTTTTTTCATGGAAATGTCTTAAAAAATGGGACCGTGTCTTCCTGCCCAGCGCTCGGCTCTGTTCTTACTGTCGGGAAGTTTTATGTTGTAATTAAAATTGTTCCTTGCAATGCGACACGGCGTGGTGTCTGCAGCCGGTGGGGTGGATTTGGCACCACCGGTACCGGAGCGGGACTGGGCAGGGAGCGCCCATGGCGTGGGGTGAGGGGTGGACGGGGGCTGGTAGGTGCCAAAGCTGCCCATGGCACACCGGGCACCCAGCCTGGCTCCGGCCCGGGGCTGGACTGTGGGTGCCTGGTGCCCAGTGTGGTGCCCTATGCCCGGTGCAGTCCCAGTGCAGTGCCTGGTGCCCAGTGCTGTTCCCCATGCCCAGTGCAGTGCCCGGTGCTGTTCCCCATGCCCAGTGCAGTCCCAATGCAGTGCCTGGTGCCCAGCGCAGTGCCCGGTGCTGTTCCCCATGCCTAGTGCAGTGCCTGGTGCCCAGTGGGGTATCTGGTGCCCACTGCAGCAGCCAGTGCCCAGTGCTGTTCCCCATGCCCAGTGCAGTGCCTGGTGCCCAGCGCAGTGCCCGATGCTGTTCCCCATGCCCAGTGCAGTGCCCAGTGCTGTTCCCCATGCCCAGTGCAGTGCCCGGTGCTGTTCCCCATGCCCAGTGCAGTGCCTGGTGCCCAGTGCAGTGCCCGGTGCTGTTCCCCATGCCCAGTGCAGTGCCTGGTGCCCAGCGCAGTGCCCGGTGCTGTTCCCCATGCCCAGTGCAGTGCCTGGTGCCCAGTGCAGTGCCCGGTGCTGTTCTCCATGCCCAGTGCAGTGCCTGGTGCCCAGTGGGGTATCTGGTGCCCACTGCAGCAGCCAGTGCCCAGTGCAGTACCCGGTGTCCACAGCACCCACTGCACAGTGCAGTGCCCATGCCATGCCCCATGCCCACTGCAGTCCCAGTGCAGTGCCCGGTGCAGTGCCCGGTGCAGTGCCAGCGCCACGCCCCGTGCCCAGTGCAGTCCCAGTGCTGTGCCCCAGGCCCGGTGCAGTTCCCAGTTCATGTTGCAGTCGCAGTGCCCGGTGCAGTGCCCCACGCCTGGTGCACTTCCCATGCTCGGTGCAGGCCCGGTGCCGTTCCCCACGCCCACTGCAGTGTCTGGTTCCCGCTGCAGTTCCCAGTGCCGTTCCCGGTGCCCGGTGCAGTGCCCAGTGCCCGGTGCAATGCCCGGTTCCCAGTGCAGTCCTGGTGCCGTTCCCGGTGCCCGGTGCGGTGCCTGGTGCCCGGTTGCAGTGCTCGGTGCTCAGTACAGTCCCGGTTCCCGCTGCCGTGCCCGCTCCGTGGTCCCGACCCGCCGCCAGAGGGCGCCGCCGCGCTCTCCCTCGGCGCCTCGCGCCGTTTGGCGCCGGTGACCCCTCGGCTCCTTCCGGAGACGCTCCGGCGGGCGGGGGAGGGGGCGTGGCCGGGGAAGGGGCGTGACCGACGATGCTTCGGGCAGGTTCGTTCCTCTCCGGCTTCTTTCGGGTCTTTCCGGGGCGGGTTCGGGCCGTTCCGGCGGCTTTCGGGCCCTTTCCCAGGCTGCAGCCGGGCTGGGAGGCAGGAGCGGGCTGGAGCCGAGCGGCGGCGGATGGGGCCGGCGGAGAGGTGGGACGGGGCCGGGGGAGAAGGGGCCCGGGGCCGGAGGTTTGGGGGGGGGGGGGGGGGGGGTGGCATCGGAAGCAGACCCAGGGCGGGCCGGGCTGGCGCCGAGATCCGCGGGGAGCGCGGCCCCTCGGCGTGAGGCGCCTCGGGGGGCCCTGGGTGGGAGTGTGTTTCCCCCCCCCCCCCCCTCCGGGGCTGAGCCGCTGTCCCCTCCCCGGGGACAACACCGCGAATGTCCCCGTCGCCTTCCCGGTGGTGCCAATGCGGGCTGACCCGCTGCCGGGGCTGTGTCACCCCCACGGGCCGCGCCCCCCCGGGGTTGGCACTAGTGCCCGCCGCCCCGAGGTGCCAGGGCAGGTCCCCCCCTTTCCCCAGAGGTGCGTGTGTGTGTGTGTGTGTCCACCCCCTTTCCCCAGAGGTGCGTGTGTGTCCCCCCCCTTTCCCCAGAGGTGCGTGTGTGTGTCCCCCCCTTTCCCCAGAGGTGCGTGCGTGTGTGTGTCCCCCCTTTCCCCAGAGATGCGTGTGTGTGTATTCCCCCCCGCCCCTTTCCCCAGAGGTGCGTGTGTGTGTGTGTGTGTGTGTCCCTGTTTCCCCAGAGGTGCGTGTGTGTCGTTCCCCCCCCTTTCCCCAGAGGTGCGTGTGTGTCGTTCCCCCCCCTTTCCCCAGAGGTGCGTGTGTGCCCCCCCCCTGTTTCCCCAGAGGTGCGTGTGTGCCCCCCCCCTGTTTCCCCAGAGGTGCGTGTGTGTGTCCCCCCTGTTTCCCCAGAGGTGCGTGTGTGTGTCCCCCTGTTTCCCCAGAGGTGTGTGTCTGTCCCCCCTTTCCCCAGAGCTGCGCGTCCCTCACCCCGTGGTGCCAGGGCTGACCCTGTCCCCAGTCCCCCCCCCAGGCTATCTCCATCCCCAGCAGTGCTAGCACAGGGATCTCTGCGCCATTCCCCCCGCAGTGGGGCCAACACAGGGAACCCCCCCACACACCCTTGGTAGGATGCAGCTCCCATTGCTGGGGAGTCCTGAGCACCTTCCCTGGGTGGTAGAGCTGGAGAAAAGCGGCCTGTCAGGGGCTGCACAGCTGCAGCCTGGGCTGAGGGCTCAGCCCCACTGCAGTTCTGCCCCAGCAGAGCCCAGGCTGGGGCGGGATGGCCCAGGGATGCGCCTGTCGCTCTGGATGTTCCAGAGTCTGAGCTTTGCTCTCTGTAGACACAGTTCCCCCCAAACCCCCGGCTCTGGGACGGTGGCCAGCCCACCTCTTCCCAGTAAGGTTTGTGCTCTGTGTCTTTTTCCAATCCTGGGGACGTTTATCAGCCACTTGAAGAGGAAGCTTCCCATGGTCACGTACCTCCCAAACCGAGGGCTCGTGTTGAATATTTCTTGGGGGGGGGGGGGGAACCTGTCTAAAATGAGCCTCTAAAAGGGCTGGAGTGGCACCAGCATTGTGCCTTTCAGCACCTGTGCCCAACGCGGCAGAGGAATGGCCCCCTCTCCTCCCCATTAATGCGCGGCTTTTATTTCCCGAGCAGCTCTTAGAGCCACTGGGGAACTGGCCCTGTGACTTTCTCTGTGAGAGCAGAGAATGGAGACAGCTGAGTAAATATAGCCTAAATCACTGCTTTCCTGGCCATTCCCCCGCCCTTCCCTAACTTGCAAAGGGCTGGTGTGTCCCCGAGGCTGGGTTGGCCTCTGCTCTAGTCATCGACTCTTCCATGATGTGGGAAAGTCCAAGCCATGGTTTGGTTTCTTTGGTGACTCTCTTCTCTGACGTGGGCAGATCGTGCTTCAATCTGCCTGTGCGGTTCGCGGCGAAGCTTTGGTCCTCCTAAAGGTGATCGCTGCCCCAAACCCTCGGTTTTTAACTTGCTATAACAAGGCTTTAAGCACACAGGAAAATCCTTTCTGCCCGCAGTTGGGTCTCGCTGGATAAAAGCTCTGGGTTGGAAGAGAAACCGCGGCTCAGCTGGAATGTGGTGAGGAGCAGAGTGGTTTGCGGAGCCAGTTTGGAGCCATGTCAGAGCGCCGGCACTTTGCTCCGAGTGCTGGGGTGTGTTTACAATGAAAAAGAGTATTTATAATATCGAGGGCTCTTTTAATTCCTCTGGGAATATCTGGAGCCGCAGCTTGGAGCTAAAGTAACTGAGTAATGGAAGATAAAAAGCAAACAGAGGAAGGGACAGTGGATTTCTCAAGTTGGAGGGTCTTGCCTCTCTCAACCAATACCCAAATAATGCTGGTGCGCTAACATGGTTATCTTATAAGTTACTTCATACGATTGCTGTGCTGTGCAGAGCTGCTAATAAATTGTCATATAAATTCCAAATACCCTGGGGAATGTGATTCTAGGCAGATAAGTTAGCAAGAGCAGTTGGATTTTTTTTTTTTTTTTCATGTACTCGTTTTTTTTAGAGCTGTCATTTTTGAGGGAAGTAGCCAAAATACAGCTCCTGGGTTTATTTCTGAAAAAAGTCCCTAAGCTCAGCCCTGTGAATGCTCCTAAAATGGAAGTAGTGAGTTCTTGCTGCTTGGGGGCTGGTGTAAAGGGAGCCTGGAGTAAAGCAATGGTGCTGGTGTAGGGCACTTGGTCCTTCTCCTCTCGATGCTGGCATGTAAAAGTCTGGCCAAGTAAAATGCTCTTGCAGGGAGGAGAAAGTGTCTGAGGTGGGTAAGACAGGACAAGCTTCAACTGTAGCAAGAAAGTCCGACATCAGGAGAAGCCTCCAGACAGTAAGAAAAGTCTTGGAGCACGTCTGCAGATTGTCTGAGGTGTTCTCAGACCGTCCAGCCTTTGAGGAGGACATCGCTGAGACCTCCAGTTGTCTCAAAAATGAGGAAGGTATCGGTCATCCTGAGGCAGGGATTTATTAGGCTCCTCAAGTCCCTGCTAACCATAACATTTACTTTTTCAGTGAAATGTTTCAGATATTCCTTCACTTCCTCGGGCTTTGGTGAATAAAGCAAAAGATTTAATGAAACTCAAGTCTGAGCAGTAAATGCTCTGTACCCCTGGCAAAGGGCAGCTGATGGCCGTGGGCAGGGTGCTGCTACTCCTCGGGCTCTGTTCCCAGCTGCATGAGAAGCATTTCTTGGTAGAGAAAAGAGGTGAAAATGGCCTCAACTGCCCCGTGCCTCTGCTGCGATGCAGCCGCTCTCAGGACAGCAGGCCTGGCTTGGGCACGGCTCGCGGCACAGCTCGCATCCCCTGCTGCTTTTCCCTGTTTGGAGGGAAATACCAGCCGGCTTGGCAGCGCCGTGGCCGTCGCCAGCATGGGAGCATGAGCCCCCGGCACGGCTCCGGCTCTCCCCGCTCCTCTGGCTGCTTCCCCCGGGAAGCATGTCCAGCTCCGCTTCCCGAGCTTGCCCGGCTCGTTCCTCTGCAGCTCAGTCGTGGCATTGCCGCCTCCCGCCGCGGCCTCACCTGCGGCTCAAGCCTCACGAGTCATCACTTGGGCTCTTTGGCTTTGGGGGGGAGCTTGTCCAGGAGCGCAGGGGATAGCTGTGCTGTTTGTCCTGAATTATAAACCAGAGGTTGCCAAGCTCTCACCCTCTCCGCCCCGGTGCTCCTCAGTGGATCGGGTGCCCGTGGGCGCAGCGTGACCCCCGGCGTGCTCAGCACCAGCAGAGCTGCCCTGGCTGCATAGGTTGGAAAGACTCAAAACTGCAGCAGTTGTCACGATAGGGCACTGTGTGGCAGGCAGCTCCGTGACCATTTTCATTTCCATCCTAGTGGCATTGTCCTATTTTCTCTCTTTATTAAAGGATGGGTTTGTCCTCGTTTGTAACCCACTAACATGTAGTGTTTTGCAGTTCAAAACTTGATTTGGTGGTTTTTAGCTCACGAAGGATCTGATGTAACTTGGAAAGATTTGAGCTGTGTAGATTGTTGTAAGCATATTCTTCTCTTAAATATTTTTATGCATTCTTTCGCCTCGCTGGAGGGAAAGTAACGCTCAGTCTCGCTTCGAGTCAAGCTGCACTTTGAACTGCATTTGGAACTGGGTTAAAAAGCACAGGAACCACATTTAAAACGTTAAGATGCTTTTATTTATGTGCTGGGCACACACAAAAAGACTTGTAATGTGTTTTTTGTTTCAAACCAATGTATTAAACAAAGAAAGTATTGACAGCAGTTAATGAATCGAGGGATTGTTTCTGGGCGCCAAGATAGATTTACCAAAGGTATTTAGATGTCTGATGCATGGGATTTTCAGAGCAGCCTAAGCTCGCCAGCGCGGACACACGAGGTTCCTCTCTAAGAGCCGAGCAAACCTGGAGCTGGGCCCAGCTGAAATCTTTTGGCAAGCTGCTCCCTCTCTCCTGCGCACGCAGAGCCCCGGCTCGGAGGTGTGCTTCCAGCCGACAGGCTCATGCGTGTCCCGGGCTCTCGGCGCTGCCTTCCTCAACCTGCCTTCCCTCCAAAGAGCCGTTCCAGGGCTTGGGGAAGCGTGCGTTCCCTCTCCCCAAAGATGCGCTGATTTGGTCAGCTGCTCTCCGTGGGGTACAGAGCTTTCCTGACACTCAGCTCAGCCTGGGAAGCCACTCGCTGGGTCCGTGGCAGGACAGAGGACGAGTGTTTCCCCTGGAGAGGACAGCACCGGCGTTAACCATGTGGATTTGGGTTTCCCGGGGGGCTCCTCTCCCCAGTTCGTGGGCACTTGATCCACACAGGGGCTGAGCACAGGAAAGGCAGGTGAGGCTGCTCCGGGACCAGGCTGACTCTAAATTATTTGTAATTTTTTCCATGTGCTCAGTGACCCGCTGGGATGCGGTGACACAGGGCTGCGTCTCTGCGTTCCCACCGCAGGGAAGGAAGCTGGAAAGAGTCGACGGGGCAGGAGCTGCGGGACCTGCTCTTTGGAGAGACTCGGTGCTCCGGAGCGACTCTCTCCTCTTCCCACCCCTCCACGCAGGTCTGCTTTTAAAAGCTACTGAACAAGTTTGCCAGGGCTGAGCGTTTTGTCCTTCCAGCGTCTTCGGCTGCGCCGGCTTGTCTGAGGCGCCTGGAATCGGGGCTGGGATCTGCGGGTGGAAGCTGGGGAGGTGCCTTTGGGGGAGCATCGACCCCGCTGGGTTCGGGCTCTGCCGCCTCTGGGTGCGTTACGGGGTCTGTTCGCACTGGGAGGAGCGGGAGCTGCCGGCGTCTGCCAGCAGGCAGCTGCTGCTCAGGTCCCTGGCTGTCAGGCAGTGCCCCCAGCGCTGCCATCTCGGCTCCATCAGACCCTGACAGGCAGCATTCAGAGGGGCGAGGGGCAGGCAGTGAGCCTGGTCATAAATCTCTCTTTATGCTCTGGGTTATGAAGTAATATTTTCCTGGCCAGGGCTGTTGGACTGGGGAAGTGCAAGCTGTGCTGTGAGTTCCCTGCGGCCGCCATCCCGGCACGGTGGGAGCTTGCACGGCGGCTCTGCTGGGATGTGCTGCTTCTCCTACAAACACCCCCTCTGTCCCCACGGTTTCTCTGAGTCCTGCAGCCTGGTATTGCTCCTGGAGCTCTGCAGAAGCTCTCCAGCAACCCAGATCAGGCTCAGTCCTGTTCCCCACCCACCAGAGCCTGGCCGCAAGTGTCTTACCTCCCCGAGGGCAGTGCCTGCTCATTCATGGCAAAGACAGCCCAGCTGGGACGCTTGCCCGAGCTCAGGCAACTAGTGCGGGTCCTGGCTGCTGCACAGGTTTCATGTGCCGCAGCCCTTTTGTGCCTTTCCCCTTTGTCAAGGGAAGGAGCCCGCAGTGTGGAGCTGGGCTGGAGAGGCAAAGCTGGCTCCTCTCAGGCATCTCACATCCATCTCTGACTTTCTGGTAGGGTGCAGGGGTGGTAGCACATGCAGGAGGAAAGTAGCTGATGTGAACTGTAGCGCGTTGCTGGCCCGAAAGGGTTATTTTGAAATACTGCAGATCACCAGCAGTTAGTGCCTCTCGCGGAGTCCAACCAGCGGTCGGAGCAGCCTTGGCTTCGTGCCGTGCTTGGTTGTGCATTGACCCCACTGGGAAGGGTGCCCTGGCTCCCTTTGCCTCCTCGCCTCCCTCTGCAGAGGCTCCCGCAGCCCTGAAAAGCGCCTTCCTGCTCGCTAATAGCTTTCAGATGAGACTCAAGAGTTTGAGCTGGGTTTGGTGGTTTCTGGACCAAAACAGCTCAAGCCGTTAATAGGACCTGCAGCGTTTCAGCAGGCCGAGGGTGTCCTGGGGAAGGCTGGATTTTGGCTGCCCTGGTGCTTTGTAGGTCCGGGCCCTGGTTGCATGCTGTGGCTGCGGGAACTGGGACACTGGGATTTGCCTGGGGGAGGTGGAAAACTGGCCTGTGAGACCAGGAGGGGATGGGAAAAGAGGACGTGCCCAGCTGCCGGGAATACCCCGGCTCATACATCCCTTCAACATGTTATAACCCAGGTTTATTCTTTTTGGTGGATTTCTGGGCAGGGCAGGCAGCATAGTCTTCAATTTCTCTCTAAATAGCTGAAAGGCAGTTAGCAGCTCTCAGTAGACTTGTAGGCTTCTAAAGATTATTTTAACTCCTCTCACCTCCATCTCTGCAAAAAGAACCCGTGCCTGCACTTGATGATGTTGCTGCTTTTGAAAAGTTCAAAAATTTACTTTGCTCAGAGCAAAGCTTTGAAGTGCTGCTCTGTGGGAATGGCAAAGCATCTCGAAAGCCTTTTGCTGAAAGCTTGGTTAACCTACTTTTGTGGGCAGCTACCTTCAGAAAATGACTTTGTGGGGGATTGCATGGGGAGATGTAAAGGTGAACTGTGAAATTTAATCGATTTAACAAGAAAAGGTTAAATCTGTTTGTTTTGCTCCTATTCAGGGCCTCCAGCTGGTGGTTGCAGGGTCACCCTTTTCTGTATGCAAAAGTTCCTGCATAAAGGCTGTTTTGTCCCACTTGTTGTCTTCTTGTTTGCATAAGTGCTGCGAGGAGGGTAAGCTGAAGAAGCAGGAGTGAACCTCTTTAAGATGCAGAGCTGGTGCCTGACTGTAGCAGCAAGGAGGTGGCATTCCTGCGTGCAGCTGCTGGCTCCTCTCTTGCTTTTGGGAGTGTAAATTGGTATTAGCATGTCCTGGTTGGATCCAGGGCTCAGCATTAGCTGGTAGGTAGGAGAGAAACAAGTCCTGCCTCTCTCAGCTGCTCAGATGAACCCCTAGTTTGAATGTTGGCGTCTCGGGAGGGTGCGGGGTGCCTGGCTGTGCAGTGACAAGTCATCTTCTCTTTGCAGGCACTGGGAAGGGAGACATAGCATGCCACGCCGTTGTGGGCTGGAAGCTCACCGTGCTTTTGCCCCCCAGACTTCAGGAAACCTTCTTTTTTGGTGAAGCAAACCCCAAGCTCCTGTTCCTTTGCTGCATGCCCGCTCACCAGTGCTGGATTATGTTTGTCTCCTTCTCCCTTTGCTCCATAATTTGGTTGAATCGTGGTTTCAAGCTAAGGAAAAGGGGCTGCACCTAAGCGCGCCGGGGCACCCGGACCAAGCTGCTGGGGTGCTGATTCACGCAGAGACGTTCTGAGTGCTGATGGGGGAGAGCTGCCTCTGAGATCCTTCCTCTTCCCGTCCAAAACACGCTGCCTCACCGTTCAGCGCCGTTCTCCCCGCAGCAGAGAGAATGGGCAGCACCGATGGGTTCCAGTACCGTGCGCTCTACCCCTACCGCAAGGAGCGCGAGGAGGACATTGATCTGCAGCCTGGGGACATCCTGGTGGTGAGCAAGGGGGCCCTGCAAGCCTTGGGCTTCAAAGATGGGGATGAGCAGACCCCCAACCAAATCGGGTGGATCCTGGGCGTCAACGAGCGGACCAAGCAGAAGGGCGACTTTCCCGGCACGTACGTGGAGTACGTGGGGCCGGTGAAGATCTCCGTCCCTTCTCACCGGCCCCGAGTGCAGAGACCCCTGCCCGCCACGCCGGGGGCCGGCGGCTGCCGGCTGCAGGAGGCTCTGGAGCAAGGTAAGCCCCACTGCGGTGCCGTGTTGCTCCAAGATGCCTCCAGTCCCGGCGTGCGGTAGACGAGGGAGTATGAGTGTCTTTGCAGGACAGCGGAGAAGCCCTCAGCTCAGCAGGACTGGATTTCCCTCCCAGCAGCAGTGCGGTCGAATCGCCTGGGGGTTGCGGGCTTACGCTCAGTCCTGGCTGAGAAAAGAGGACGTTGTTCCTCCAGCTTATCAATCTGCTTAGCAGAGCTTCTTAGGGCGAGCCTTGTCCCACTCTTACCTCTCCAAGACCTCTCTGGCCCACAACCAGTCAGGTTCCCCATGGTCCTCCGTGCCTCTCTCTACTCCGCTAAGGGTTTTACCCTTTTCCCTCCCTTTAGGAATAAGTCCTGACCTCTCCCAACCACCTCCCTGCCTCTGGAGTGCCCGGGGCACTGCTCCCTGCCAAGAGCCGCTCAGCCCTGCTGAGACACACAGTTACTTGTCTCTCTGGGCAAGAGGAGAAAAGTCAGGGTCTAAAAGAGTATTTCCGAGAACTGGAGCTAATTGCTTGTCTGCCTGGCACCCGTCCCTCGCCGTGGCTCGCAGAGCTCTCGCTGGGGCTGGGCGGCTGCCCTCGGGCAGGGCATGAGCCGTCCTGCACCTGCGGCTGCCTCCCAGCCGGCGCTGGGCTTGGCACGGACCCGCTCCGGGAGCTGGGAGAGCCGCTGTGCCTCAGCGCTGCCTGTGGAGCTGCAGCAACTGCCTTCTCTTTGCTGATTTTTAAATGTTTTGGGGGTTTTGGTTTTTTTTTTGACTCCTGGGCACATGAACCCTGTGGCAGAGGCTCAGCAGCCCCCAGGTGCTCTGAGACAGTGAATAGGGGTGATAGCCACACTTTACCTTCCCATGCCTTGGGGAAAAGCTCATACTGGTGCACACAGGAGGAATGGGGTCAGCAACAGGAGCTGGTGAGCATCAGAGAACGCTCCTGGCTGGCAGTTCTGCATCCTTCCTGTCCCTCTGTGCCTGGAAGCCACGGCTATCCCATCAGATGCTTCTGGGGTCTTCAGGATTGGAAAGGAGTCCCCGTCTCAGAAACCAGGGTGGTGGGGCTGGTGCGGCTTCCCACAGCTGCCTCCCATGCTCCCGAAACCAGAGGGGTGGCCCCAGGAAATGTCTCCGCAGGGTGGGAATGCGGCCGGGCCGTGCGTTTGGGTTGGCAGCGAGAGCCGCTGACCTGAGTCATCCCACTCGCAACCTGCCTTTCCAAGAAAGCAGCTCCTCTTGGGAGCCCGGGCCATGCTCTGTGGTGGATGTGTCGGCCTTGCCTGCCTCCAGCCCTGCGCTCCCTCGAGGGCTGTATTTATGCCTTCATGGACTCTCTCCTCCTCTTTCTTCTCAAGCGGGGCTTGCTGGAGGTGTGTCTGGGTGGTCAAAGCCGCTGCCCCGCGCAGGGTTTGGGGATCTTTGGGATGTGGAAGAAGATACGTGCCAAAGCTCCCGACACACAGAAAAGACGTGGTTGGGAAAGAAACCAAAAGCCAGCCAGCCTGCATCCTGCCCAAGGATGAGACAGAGTGAAGGTCAGGTACCAGGGCATGTGAGGGGGGTGCCAGCCCTGTCCCCGGTGGGTGCATCCCCACGGCCACCCTCCCCACCTTGGGCACAGCAGGGGCCTGCAGCGTGGCAATTGAAACACCGAAGGCCATTTTGCATGCAGCCTACCGGAATGATGGTGGGGAGACACGTTTTTGCAACTGAGAACCCGTATTTAAGCCAAACCCGTGTTATTTCTTCGCGGTCGGCACTTTGGGAGGTGCAGAGATGTCTCCTGGCTGCCCCGTGAAGCTCAGAGCTGGCGGTGTTTCTTCCCTGTTTCCAGGTCCTGTCCTGACTGGCAGGAATCTCTTAGTTCCCCCCCCCAGTGTCACACGCAGAGCAGGGCCGGTGCCACGGTTGTCACGCAGCCTGGGAGCAGGACTGGCCCTGCAGAGCGGCGAGACCCAGCGCTTTCTACCGGTGAATTTACGAGCTGCCTGGTGTTTGCCTTCCGCAGAGAACGCAGGCGGAAAATGCGGCTCGGAAATATTTCCGCAGCTGCCCCGGCCGTGCTGTGAGCAGCCTTGTTCACGGCGGCCCAGCCCGGAGGCCCGGCAGGCTCAGGAGCTGCTGCTGGCTCCGGCACAGGCTGCCTGATAAAAAAAGGCAAGCTGCTGCCTGCTGAAGCAGCACATTCCCGGCCGGGCCACGTGGGCAGCACCAGTATTTATTCTCCCTTCAGCCCTTCCCAAGGGTCAGGCTTGGAGCTGCCAGCCTGGCAGCTTGCCTTTAGCTTCCCCACCCTGACCAGCACCACGCTGGGCCCCTTCCTGTGCCCAGGGGTTCTCTCTGGTGGGGGATTGCCCCACCACCACCAGCACAGGTCCTTGCTGGTTGCCTGCCCCGTTTGCTCCCCTTTCCGCAGCTACGCTGACACGAGCTGCTTCATCTTCCCCGCGATGCTGCGGGTGCAGGAGGGCTCAGCCGGGTGCGGAGTTTCAGCTGGCTGCGCCTCATGGCGAGACCACACTGGGCGGGTTCGGGTCAGAGCCGTGATAACAAAGCTGTGTTTCGCAACAGGGAGCAGCCTTTTGGCTCTGCCTCCCCTTGAGTGGAGCGTGCCGAGTGTCCTCACCCACTGTGGGCTCCCCAGGGTCTGCACGGTGCCGTGGACTGCTCCGGAGGAGCCTCTTGCACCGGCTGGTGCTCAATTGGAAGCGAGATGGAATCTGGCACCGCTCATCTTTCGGCAAGCCTCCCGCTGGCAGCTGCCTGGCCGGGCCTGCGTGCTCCTGCCCCAGCATGCGTCACCCCTCCAGCACAGGGGAAAGGGGGTGCCCGGAGCCAGGACCTCAAGATTTTCTGGAACTGGCAGTGAAATGCCACCCAATGTAGATCCCCCAGGAAGGGGGGCACCCCAGTCCTGTGCCGCAGGCTGTCTGCACCCTGTAACAGCTTGCACGGAGGCTGTGGGCTCGCGGGGAGGGGGAGGCAGAGGGCTGGTTTCCATGTTAAACGAGCAATCAAGGGCAGGAATTTGCTGACATGGCGTTCTGTCTGAATCGCTGGATTAATCACAGCTCACCACCGCGAGCGAGCTCCCTGGCTGTGTTCCTCCACCAGCCCCTGTGCCGGGCAGGGACCGAACCCAGCCTGAGCTCCAGGAGCCCTGGTAACCCCTGCACTGCCCGCCCTGGGGTGCCGGGGTCCCCACAGAGATAGGCTCTGCAGGGAGCAGTAGGGATCCCCCTGTGCACATCCCATCAGGGGCTTGGGGAAAGGCTCAGCAAGTGCCGTGCCAGCTTCTGGGCTAGCTCACAGGATCCCTCCAGCCTCTGTGCTGTGTTTGCGTGGGCTGAGACCTCGTGGCAGGGGCCACGGCTTTCCTCGCTCTCAGATGCTGCCGTTGGGAGCAGCGTTGGTTGTGCCCCAGCTCAGCTCCACTGCTGGGGGCTGAGCTGGGGCTGACCCCTTCTCTCCCTCTTTCTCCCCCAGGGTCTCCTCTCCCAGATCTGCAGGAGCAGTTCAGCCCTCCTGAGATTGCACCGCCGCTGCTGGTGAAGCTGGTAGAAGCTATTGAGAAGAAAGGTAATGCGGGATGCTGAGCACTGCGGGGCTGATGCTCCCCAAAACCCCTCAGTGAGGGCAGAGGGGGGAGGCAGCTGTCTTTAAAAGCTGTTGGCGTTGGACTGAGCTCCGTGGGGTGTGCAGGACGCAGCTGCCTGCAGAAGGGGAAGCCGTCCCGCTCCTCCCTGCCTTGAGCTGCTGTTGCCCAGAGCTGGGCTTGACCTCGCTGCACCGTCCTGCGCAGAGCCCCGGGGTGAGGGTGCTGGGTCTGCACGCGGGATGCCTGCGCGCCCCGGACGGGTGCTGGGGTCTGGGAAGAGCTTCTAGCCCGGATCTGTGCCGTGGGGGGGAGAAACGGAGCCACTGAACCGGGTGTCCTGGGGGCCAAGGGGGCTGCGGCAGGAGGTGGGTTTGGTCAGCACCCAGGCCTGGTTTAGCCATGCCGTTGCCTGGGCTGGCACCGAAACGGTGCGCGGCTCGCAGCTCACAGCAGCGTCCCCGCTTCCGCAGGGTTAGACGGCGAGATGTTGTACAGGACATCTGGCTCCGAACTGAGGCAAGCGCTGAGAACCGGTAAGAACCAGCTCCGCGTGGTGAGGAGGCGAATCGGCTCAGATGGAGGAGATTAGTGGATGTGACAGCGCCAGCAGTAATGCAATCCAGGCCAGGCTCGCCTGGGCCCGGCAGTTCCTGACTCCCGGCACGCTGCCCGTGGGGCTGGGCCGGCCCCGTCCTGCGTGGAAGGGACAGGAGAGGGGGGGAGGATTCCTGCCACCCGCCGTGGGCTGGAGCAAAGGGACGTGGCGCCACTCGGAGAGCGAACCCCTGTGCTGTCTCTTCAGGGTGCCCCGCTCTCGGGGTGCTCTGCTGATGGGCTGGCGGAGGCTTCGCTGGCTCTGTCACGCCGCTAATAAGCAGGGGAGGATCTTTCAGCTCAGCTTGGTGGCTGGAGCTTTGGCTCTGCTGTGCCGGGAGCTGATGTTTCTGCCGGAGAGACTTCAGAGCTGTCTGCCCCTCGGCTGGGCTTGGGCCTCATCTGCCACTGCGCTGGCTTGTCCCTTTCCACAGGCATTCTTGCAAACCCCAGCTACACGGTGCTGTCACCTCTGGCCGCGCTGCTTTTGGGCCAGGCTTTAAGTGCTGTCCCGACAGCCTGCGCCTTGCAGTTGTGGGACAGCACGGTTCGAGGGAGACGTTTTTCCCCGTCGGGTTCAGCATGTGGCTGCTCAGTCTGCGCTTGTCTCTACAACACAGGGAACAAAACTCACCCAAGTCATCCGTGCGCAGGATTCCTGTCGCAGAGCTCAGGGAAAAGGGTGTGGGCACCCAAAATGACCTCTACCCTCTCCTGGGGCAGGGGATCTGCCTGGGTTCCCAAAGCCAACTTATTTCTGGGGTGTAGGGAGCATTTCCAGGCATCCCCTGTCACGTGGACTGCCTGAGCTCCCTTGTGGTGCCGTGTCCCAAGAGAGCTGGCCGGGTGGTGTGTCTGGGATGGGTGGTGGCAGCACCGGCGCTGCCGGCTGGGTGTCTGGTGCTGTCCCCACCACCCATGGGAAATCGGTGCCCTGGCAGATTGGACCCTGGGCGACCTGGAGCCCTTCGACGTGTACTCCCTGGGCGAGGCGCTGCGAGGCTACCTGCAGGACCTGCCCTCCCCCGTGGTGCCAGTGTCCGTGCACGGAGACATCCTTCGTGTCCTGCAGGGTAAGGGCCTCTCCTGGCTGCGCTTGGGAATGGGTGGCTGGGCGGGACAGGCGTGTTTGGGGTATTAAAATAAATCCTGTCCCTATGGGGTCTGGCACACGGCCCCTGCTGCTGACAGCGCTCCCACACTGGAGCGTGGAAAGCGGTGCCGGCGATCCCAGCCCTTCCATCGTGTCTTGTTCTTTCCCCAGAGATCCCCCAGCCGGAGAATTGCCGGAAGCAGCTGCTGCTGGCCCTGGAGTCGCCTGCGGTCCCGCTCCAGAACACGCTCACCCTGCAGTTCCTGCTCCGGCATCTGGGGAAGGTATCGCAGCAGGCCGAGAGCAACAACCTCCACCCTCGCGCCCTGGGAGAGATCTTCGGTCCCCTTCTCCTCCGGCTGCCTGGCGCCAGGTACATGAGGCTTTTGGGTTCCAGCCGTCGGCCGCTGTGCCTGCCAGGACGAGGAGTCCAGCCTGTAACAGCAGGTCTGCCCGCAGCCCCTGCCTCGCTGCACGGGGGATTAAACCTCTGGCAGCACGCAGAGGTGGGACTCAAAGCCAGGGCAGAGCCCTTGCTTTTGTGTCAGCCTGGATCTGGCAGCTGGGATGAACCAGATGACCCCGGCTTCCCCTTTGCCCCTGGGGGCACGGGACCGGTACCAAGTTCTCCCCCACAACCACTGCTCTTACTTGGCTCCTCTCTCCCTGCAGCCCAGAGCTGAGCCCTGACTTCTCCGTCCTGTTTTTGGAGATACTTCTGCAGACAAAGGAATTGGAACCAGAACAGTTGCCTCCAGGTACTGAGATGCCCCTTCCTTGGCACCCGAAGCGCTGGCATTTGTGCTTCGTGGGTGTGGAGTCTCTGCCCCCATGAGTGGGTTGCTGAGGGCGTTTCTGTAGCCCAGCTGTGCCTGGAAGCCCATTCGAGGTGTTCATCTGTGGCTGTAGATGAGCCTGGAGCAGCTCCTGGCAGCGTGGTGGCCAAGGGGGCTTCCCCAGATAGTCACTGCATGGAGAGGGGACCCAACACTCTGAGAAATTACCCGTGGGGAGCTGGGACTCGGGTCCACCCTGCTTCAACCCTCCTTCCCTTCCAGCCCTGCCTCCAAAACCTCCTAAGCCAAAGCCCAGTGCAGCCAGCTTGGCCAACGGGAACAGCGTGCCCTTGCAGGACGCCGAGTGGTACTGGGGTGACATTTCTCGGTAAGGGCAGGGGGGGGTACACACACTGAGTGCCCCCATCCATCGAGTTACCTAGGGGAGCTCTGGTTGCACCTCACAGACCACGACAATCATGTTCCTTGCAGGGAGGAGGTGAACGAGAAGCTACGGGACACGCCGGATGGTACCTTCTTGGTGCGCGATGCCTCCAGCAAGATCCAGGGAGAGTACACGCTCACGCTCAGGTAGGGTGCTGGGGTCCCCTGAGAGCCTGCGCTGCTCTGGGGTGGAGCTGGGGGGTCAGCGTGTGTCCCAGTGCTTCGGGCTGCCTGGACACCCAAACATCAGGCTGGCGTAGGGTGCTGGGGTGCTAAGTGCCCTCTTCTCCCCTCCCCGCTACAGGAAGGGAGGCAATAACAAGCTGATCAAGATCTTTCACCGGGAGGGGAAGTATGGCTTCTCGGAGCCCCTGACTTTCGGCTCGGTGGTGGAGCTCATCACCCATTACCGGCACGAGTCGCTCGCCCAGTACAACGCCAAGCTGGACACCAGGCTGCTCTACCCCATCTCCAAGTACCAGCAGGTGAGGCTGCAGGGATGCCGCTGGCCGGCACAGCCAGAACCAGGGGCATTCCCTCATCCCCTCTCTTCCCTTTGGTAGATGACAACGTCCCCCCCTTCCCTTGTGCTGGGTTGTTGCTTTGTGGGGTGACTGACAGGGTTGGGGGGAGGGTCTGGGACCGGACCTGCTGCCTGGCAGTTGGGCAGGAGCAGGTCCTGACCGAGGCTGTGCCTATGCCAGGACCAAGTGGTGAAAGAAGACAGCGTGGAGGCCGTCGGGGAGCAGCTGAAGGTCTATCACCAGCAGTACCAGGACAAGAGCTGGGAGTACGACCTGCTGTACGAGGAGTACACGCGCACATCCCAGGTACGTGGGTGTTGCCTTCCCCTTGGGAGCACGGGCCCCGCGGGCTGCCCTGACACCCCCTGATCGCTGGAGAGCAGAGATCGGGCACCCGCTGCCTCATCTGTCTGCTCCCGGACTTGTGGGGACTCCCCAGAGAATGGGCTTTGAAGTGGGGGCTGTTTTGGCTGCAGCAAGGACAGTGCCGCTTTAGCGGGGAGGGAGAAACCTGCCCAAATGCTCCCCCTTCCTCAGCTCTCCCCTCCCTTTTCAGGAGCTGCAGATGAAGAGGACAGCAATTGAGGCCTTCAACGAGACGATCAAGATCTTTGAGGAGCAGTGTCAGACGCAGGAGAAATGCAGCAAGGAGTACATCGAGCGCTTCCGACGGGAGGGCAACGAGAAGGAGGTGCAACGGTGAGGACGGGGGGGTGGTGGTGACCTGCTCTGCCTGGGGAAGGGCCCTTGAGGGCTGGAAGGACCATCCTGGCCCAGCGCAGAGCCGAGGCATGTGCAATCCTTGTCTCTCCAGCAGCGTGCTGTGGGCTGGAGCTGGCAAGCTGCTTTCTCTGCCTCCCCCGCTCTGGCTCACAGCCTAAACCCCCTTCTTTCTCCCAGGATCCTCATGAACTCAGAGAAGCTCAAGTCTCGCATCACAGAGATCCACGACAGCAAGATGAAGCTGGAGCAGGACCTGAAGAAACAAGCCTCGGAGAACCGGGAGATCGACAAGCGCATGAACAGCCTCAAGCCAGACCTCATGCAGCTGCGCAAACTGCGGGACCAGTATTTGGTGTACGTAGTGCCTGCCCCCGCAGAGGGCTGGGAGTGGGGCCCTGCTGCCCCTCCAGCCTGGCCCGGGAGAGATCCAGCTGGCTCCTTGAGGGCTTTGGGGCTTGTTGGACCGGCTTGGGGGCTGCTGGAGCAGGAGGGAGCCCTGCAGCATGCGGCCTCGGGGCACGGCGGTCCCTCAAAGGGGACGGCTGCTGCCCTCTGGCGATGGCTGCTCGAGCGGTGGCTGGCCCGGCCGCCGCAGACCGGGCACGCTGCCCGGGCTGAGCTCTGCTTCTCCTTCCCCAGGTGGCTGACGCAGAAGGGTGCCCGCCAGAAGAAAATCAACGAGTGGTTGGGCATCAAGAACGAGACAGAGGAGTGAGTGTCCCTGCTCGCGCGCTGCGGGGGGTTGCAGGAGCGCAGGCTACGCAGCGGGTTCTGCCTGCACCGGCACCGCGGGATGGTCCCAGCTCCCTCCCTGGGAGCTGAGGACATCGTCCCTGGTGGAAGCAGTGGGAGGGGAGACGTGGGGGGCCATGAGTCTGACCCTGCCTGTCCTCGATTGCAGCCAATACTCCATGATGGACGACGAGGAGGAGCTGCCCCACCACGAGGAACGAACGTGGTACGTGGGGAAGATCAACCGCTTGCAAGCAGAAGAGATGCTGTGCGGCAAGCGGGACGGCACCTTCCTGATCCGTGAGAGCAGCCAGAAGGGATGCTACGCCTGCTCCGTGGTGTGAGTACCCCCAGGCAGAGGTGGCAGGCGGGGGGGGGCTGGCACGGGCTGTGCTCCCCCATCTCTCTGCCCTCCTCTTGCCAGTTGCTGGAGGCTGACGGAGGCGTCCCCGAGGTCTCCCGTCTGCCTCGGTTCCCCCTGCCAGGGCCTTGGGCTGCGTTGGTGACAGCCACTTGTGCCCTGCTGTCCCTGTCCCCGCGGGGCTCCCTGTTGTGCCGCTGACCCGTGCTCCCTTGTCTCCCTGGCAGGGTGGACGGTGACACCAAGCACTGCGTGATCTACAAAACGGCGACCGGCTATGGGTTCGCTGAACCCTACAACCTCTACGCCTCCCTCAAGGACCTGGTCTTGCACTACAAGCACACGTCCCTGGTGCAGCACAATGACTCCCTGAATGTCACGCTGGCTCACCCGGTCCTTTCCCAGCCACCAGCCAGATGAGCAGCCTGTGCACAACACAACAGCTGCCTTCAGCTTCTCCCCAGGGCGCTGCTTTCTGGCTCTGGACTCTTGCACCCTGTATAGTTGAGTCTCTGTGCTCCTGCCCCTCCAGAGCCTCTGATGACCGTTCCTGATGTCCCTTTTGGTCAGTAGCTGAAACCCGTGTTGGCTGATGGGACAAAAAGGCTGGGCTGCTGATTCCCCAGCCTCTAGGAGGTGGGATCCAGTTGTGATTGAATTGCTGGGGGTGAGCACAGCCCCCTCCCCTTCCCCGATAAGCAGGTCAGATCCCTTTCTTGCTGTCAGGTCACCCCGCTACGCATCACTGTAGAGCTAGGTTCCCGATTCCTCGGCGACGGTCAGCGCCCCAGCCGAGCTCTGCTCTGAGCGAGGGGCTCCCTGCCTGGATTCTGGAGGAGGCAGAGGAGGAGGAGGCTCCGCTGAGCGGTTGAGCTTGTGCATCCTCCACTCTCGCTTCCCTCAGTGATCTTGCAGGCTGCGGTGGTGTCTGGTACGAGGGGTGCTGCTCTTCCATGCAGAGACTCGCTTAGAAAGGAGAAACCCCATCCTCTGTGGGGCTTCTCAGCTGAGGTCTCTGCTCCGTGCCGTGCCCCCACCTCACCGTCTTGTTCCCTAATGTCGTAATCGCCTCTTGAGTGTTGCTGTCTGGGGAGGGAGGATCTGCTTGGCGATGAATCTCTCGCCTTCGTTGTGCCAACTAAGCTGTGAAATCCGTGTTGGTACCCGTGTTTTTCCCGGCAGGATCTATGGGGTGCACAGCTCGTTGTTTCCAGCTGTCTTCAGTGAATCTCTGCAAACGTAACCCGTTGAAGCTAACTGTAGCTCTGTAAATATGGTTCTTTTCGTAATTGGCTGCTTATCTAGTACTGGTGTTTGCTGAACTCCCACTACGATATGCAAGCGCCTGAGCAGCAGCTGCCCGGGCTGCTGCAGACTCGGGTCCTGCCAGCTGAAGCAGGAGGGAGCCCGAGTCCGACGCACGCTACGAGCCCTACACAAAATGAAGGACCTCTCTGCTGCAGGAGGACGGTATCTCCGCTGGGCCAAGGGCCTTAGCGCATAGAAATGTATATGCATGATGTCGAACTATGTATGCAAAGCACTTGTAATCATGAGTACTGTATGGGGACTTGGGGGGGGGGGCGGGAAGAGCTGGGGGTTGCTGTAGTGCTGCCCATCGTAGCTGGCTGGCGCGGGCAGGGGTTTGTTGTGTCTGAGTTCAGAGGGCTCGAGGGCAGCGGAGGTGGCCCTGGCAGAGCTTTAAAAGCTGGACTTGGGCTGAGAGTTGAGGCCATGGTGGCATTTGCTTTACTGGGTTGTCCCGTCTGCCTGGCTTGAAGAAAGCATTAATTGTCCTCTTTGATTTGCCAGAGAGGCTCTTTCGCTTCCAGAGGCCGCGTCCTCAGGACGGGCTGCTGGGTGCTGTAGGCTTTGCCGCTTCTGTTCGGTGTTGCGACTCAGGCTCCGCCGGATCTGCGGGGTGCTGCCCGCTCGTGCTCCGCTTGCATCCTGTCCTCGACGTGCCACCTGCGTTGGGGACCGCGCTGTCCCTCCTCCCCCGGCCAGCTCTGCTTCTCACTTTGCTCCAGGCCGGTCCCCAGAACCTTTTGGATCGGGGATTGCTGGAGCAAACGTCCCATTCCTGTTGCTTGCGGCAGCTCTGCTTATGCTCGACTGTACAGACCCCCCTCCCTGCTCTGCCTGCCCTCCCCGGGCCCTGCGCCATGGTTTTTGGTTTGGATTTGTCGGCGTTTGGTGCTCTGTGGATACGGGGCAGCAGTGCTGGCCCTGACCCACCGCAGCCCAGGCGTGCGCTTGCGTGCTGTGTTTGTTCGGGGATCACTTGGGAAAAGCTGTCAGGGATAATTAAGGGAATAGTTTAGGCTGGGACGTATGAGAGATAAGAGCACGTGAGAATGGGGCAGGGAGGCCCAGGGCTCACAGCTCTCTCTGCAGAGGCCTCCCGGGGGCTGGGGGGGGTCATACCAACACCCCAAAGCTTTCTGCCAGGCTCCCACACCGGTCATTTGCAGCCTGGAGCCTCTGCCCCGTTCCCGCGCTTCCAGCGTGTCCCTGCACCGTGGGGCAGGCTGCAGGTGGGTGGGACCCTCCAGCCGCTCGCCCCACGGGGTCCACATCCCCCCCCACACCCCACCAGTGTGAGCTCGGGGCCCATCCTGCCCCGGGGGGAGCTTTTGTTCACGCCAGGCCCTGCCGTGCATCTGCGAGAGTCTCAGCTTAAAGCCGTCGCCTGTTGACACTTCGCTTGGTGCTCGCTCCGGCTCTGCTGGCCGGTGAAATTCCAGCTTAACACCTTTTTTTTTTTTTTTAATCCTTTTGGCTGAATTTCTGCTGTTCTCCCCACGCTATCCCTTCCTGACACCCAGCCAGAGCCTCTTCCTCCCCAGGAGCGTGGGCAGCTCAGCGTGAGCTGGGGGGGGGTCACGGTCACCCCTCTGCCTCTTCCAGCACTGCCGTTCCTGCCCGTCCCCGACAGGGCTCTGCGTGCAAGTCCTGTGTACAAGGAGGAGGAAAATGCCCTTTCCCAGGGCTGCCTTTCCCTGACGGTGCTTGACTTGGCTCCCCGAAACGCAGCTTTTCCCTCATCTCCCCCTGGGGTGGAACCCCAAGCCCCGAGCTCCCCGCCTGCAGTGCAGCTCCCCCCCCAACCCCCCCCCGCCCCGAATGAGCTAGTTGTGATTTGTGCTTTGATGCTTTTCGCTCGTGCTTCGTGTTCACGCCGCCGGACGAACCCGGGAGCGATGTGTTTCGAGGCCCCAGGCTGTGCTTTGCTGCTTGTGACACCCCCCCCCCTCCCTTCCCCATGTCCCCCCAAAACCAGCCGCTCACCCGCATCCCGTGGGTGCAACGTGGCCGTTCCTGCTCCCCGGGGCCCAGCTCCGGTTTTGTCCCGCCATGTCCCGGCTCGGGATGCTCCACGCTCCCCCGTGTAACCCCCCCCCCCGAGAGCTCTTGTGTCACCGGAGGCTTTGTGCTCGGAGAGGACGTGGCGGCTGCGTGATTTTAGTTCCTAGGTATATGCAATAATAAATAACTTGCCACTTCAGCTGTTCGTTACCAGCAGTAGTTCTCTATGCTCTTTCTGTTGATGTTTACTAATGTAAACCCAGTATTTGTTACTGTAAGAGGATTTTTGTACGGTACTTCAAAAAAACCCACAAAAAACAACAAAAAAAAAATTAAATAAACAGAATTAATGAAATGGCTGTGGGGATTTCTGTGCGAGCGGAGGCGGGGAGGGTATTGGGGCTGTGCCCCAGCTCCCAGACTGGGTGCAGGATGTGACCCATCGCCCAGGCTGGGGCTGGGGCAGGCGGGGGCCAGCCCCGGGCTCACCGGCTGGGCAAGCGAGGGGGTGGCAGCCGAGCCCAGAGGGGTAAGAAATGGCCGGAAACAGCAGCTATAAACAGCGGGGGGGAAGTACAAAGTTCCTCCGTGAAATGAGCCTGGGGGGTGTTTTGGGCAGCACCCCCTCCCCGCAGCCGGTTGCCAATCTGGGGGTGCTTTGGCACCTGCACCCAGCTCCGGGGGGGGGGTGGGTCAGCAGGGAACCCCCCTCGCCTGTTGGGGAGACGCCAAGCGTGGGCCGCTCACCGTTGGGTTTCTGTCCCCAACCTGTCGCAACCTGCGGGGAAGCGGCGGGAGCCGGGGCAAAGGGCTGTGCCCCCCCCAAAGGCCCGATTTGGGGACAGCGGGACCGGGGTAACCAGAGCCAGGCGGCCCCGCTGTGAGTCATCAGCGTCGGCGTCACATGAGGAGGCCGGTTGAACCGGGCAGGAAGGGGCGCGCGGAGGCGGGCGCAGCCGGGCTTTAAAAGTCCTCGCGGGGACGGGTTCGCCTCCGCGCCACCCCACAGCGTCCCCATGGCCCCCACGGTGCCGCTGCTGGCCCTGCTGGCCCTAGGGCTCGGGGTGGCTTTCCCTGGCTGTGACTACCCGGTCCACCTCTGGTGCAGCTCGCCGGAGATCACCGTCGCCTGCCAGGTCAGAGCCACCGGTGCCCAGGGCTGCCCCAGCCACGCTGGCAGCCCACGCAGGGACATGTCCCCCCTGAGCAGGGACACGTCCCGCCGAAACGGCACACGCAGGGGGCTGGGTGCCCACCTGGCAAGAGGGGATGGGATACATGGGGATGGCGTCGGGGCTCGCCCGGACGCGGTACCCGGTACAAATTGCCCGGCTCTCGGCATCCCTGCGGCACAAGCTGGCATGCCACGGGGGTGCTCACAGCCCCTGTGCCGTGCTGGCACCACGGCATTCTGCCTGTGCTGCAACCGGACCCCAACCCCAACCCTTCCCCAGGCGCTGCTGGCACTTCTGCTTTTTTAACAGAAAAGAGCTTTTCAGTTTATTCCGCCCTGAACATGCCTGGACAGTGACACCGCTGCGACAGTGGTTCCAGCAGCACCCTGCGAGCCCCATGGGGCTGTGGCCACCCCCCAGGCATATCCTGGCCACACCGGATATGTTTTCCCCAAAAATATTTTGGGGAAGTTCCCACGGAAAGCCCCAGCCCCGTGTGCCGATGGTGCACGGGATCCTGCAGCTGCGGGAGGCCCCCGGGCAGCTCTCACTTCCCTCCTGGCTCATCCCCCCACATTGCAGGAGCTTTGCCCCATCCCCTGCAAAAGTGGCAGGGGTGGTGGGGGGGATCTACCTCCACATCCTCACTGTGTACCCCCGAAATCTTCCCCACGCGCAGGCAGAGAGCCGTTGTGCCAACCACACGCGCCCGGCAGCCGCCCCCGTGGAGCTGAGCCTCTTCTACGAGAGCCTGTGTCCGGCGTGCCGCGAGTTCCTGGTCCAGGAGCTCTTCACTGCTTGGCTGCTGCTGCCCACTGAGGCGCTGAGCATCACCCTGGTGCCTTACGGCAACGCCAAGGTAGGAGCCGGCCCCAGCCGGTGCCGCAGGCGCTCGCTCCGGTGCCGCCGGCCCCGGCTCAGTCTGGTTGATCCTGCCAGGAGAAGAACGTCAGTGGGAAGTGGAACTTCCAGTGCCAGCACGGGCCGGAGGAGTGTTTGGGGAACATGATCGAGGTGACGGTGACGGTCCCCATGGTGCCGGCACAGGGCGATGGGGGGGTGTATCCGGTAGCCCCTTACACCCACCCCCCATCCCCATAGACCTGCCTGATCCACGAAGCCAAGAACTTCAGCACCTACTTCCCCGTCATCTTCTGCCTGGAGTCAGGCAGCTCCGTCACCAAGAACCTGGAGGCCGTACGTGTGTCCCCCTCTCCTCATCCCCCTGTCCCCTGCCGCAGGGCACATCCCTGTCCCACCCCCCCGACATCACGTCCCCCCCCGTTTTCTCCCCGGCAGTGCCTGCAGGTCTACGCCCCACAGCTGGACCGGCGCCGCCTCACCGCCTGCGTGTGGGGGGACACGGGGGCCGCCCTGATGCACCACAACGCCCAGCTGACGGAGGCACTCGACCCTCCGCACCAATACGTCCCCTGGATCGTCGTCAACGGGGTACGGTGGGGGCACACACACACACACACACACGATATTGGGGTGCAGGGGGGACACGGGGACCCCCAACCTGACCTGCGCCATCTTCTCCTCTCTGCAGAAGCACACGGACGAGCTGCAGGCCCAGGCTCAGGCCTCGCTGCTGGGGCTGGTCTGCCGCCTCTACCAGGTGGGTTGGGGGGGGGGCTGGCGGGGCTGGGGGACACATCCCAGTCCCCATCCCCGTCCTTGTTGTCCCCGTCCCCGCTGGGGCTCTACTGGCCGCTCTCTGGCAGGGGGAGAAGCCCGAGGCCTGTGGGGGCTCGGGGGCCCTGAAGGCCCTGGCCAGCTGCAGGCGCTGAGGAACGGCGTGGGAGCACCGAGCGAGCGGCAAATAAAAAGAAGGGTTTTAATTAAAAAAAAACAACAACAAAAAAAAAAAAAAAAAAAAAAAAAAAAAACAACAAAAACAACAAACCACAAGAGGCTCTGGAGTGGTGTGTTTGGGGAGGGGGGGGCTTGTGCCCCGCCTGGGTGAGGGGGGAGAGCGGGAGCTGCGCCTCGGTAGGTGTCATGGCGTCCTCCTACGCCTCGGTAGGTGTCATGGCGTCCTCCTGCGCCTCGGTAGATGTCATGGCGGCTGCCTGTGCTGCGGTAGTTGTCATGGCGGCCGCCGGAAGCGGAAGGCGTCTCGTCACAGGACGCGGCCTCTTCCTCGTGCCGGTGGCGGAAGCGCGCGGAGGTGAGTAGTGGGGGGATGGGCACGGGCGGGTTGGGGGGGGGCATGGGGGGGATCTGGGAGCACAGGGGAGTAAATGGCGGCGGGTACAGGGATAACTGGGGGGGGGGGGGGGGCGTCCAGCAGGGAGGACTGGGGTGTGAAAGAAGGGTAACGGGGGTCATAAGGGTGACTGGGGGGCACTGGGGTGAGGGGAGGGGAGTCCAGCAGGATGGCCGGGGGGGCACCGCAGGAGTAACGGGGGAAACTGGGGAGACTGGGAGGGCACAGCGGTGCTAATTGGGGGGCACAGGGGGTACTGGGTGGCACAGCAGAGCTGACTGGGGGAACTGGTAGCACAGCATGGATAACGGTGGGGCACAGGGGAAACTGGGGGGCACAGCAGTGCTAACTGGGGAGCACAGCGTGGATAAACGCGGGGCAGAGGGGGAAGTGGGGGGGACAGCAGTGTTAACTGGGGAAACTGGGGGGTGTAGCATGGATAACTGCAGAGTACAGGGGGAACTGAGGCACACGGCAGTGCTAACTGGGGGAACTGGGGAGCACAGTGGATGGCTGTGGGGCACAGAGGGAACTGGGGGGGTACAGCAGTGCTAACTGGGGAAACTGGGGAGCACAGAGTGGATGGCTGCAGGGCACAGCGGGAACTGGGGGGGTACAGCAGTGCTAACTGGGGAAATTGGGGAGCACAGTGTGGATGGCTGCGGGGCACAGAGGGAACTGGGGGGGGCACAGAGGGGACTGGGGGGCCAGCACAGATAACAGGGGGGGACATGAAGGGGGGGGGTGTTGGTGCTCCATCCCCACTGACCCCCGCAGCAGGGGGGGTTTCGGGGGGGAGGGGTGTGGGGGGGGTGTGTCTGCCCGCAGGATGCTGGCGTGGGGCCGGCAGCTCCTGCGCTGCTGGAAGCCGCTTTTCACCGGCCGCTTGCTGCTGCTGACCAACACGGCGAGCTGCGGCGCGCTGCTGGCCGCCGGCGACACCCTGCAGCAGGCCTGGCACCGCCGGCGGCACCCCGACACCCAGCCCCAGCTGGCCCGCACAGGTGACAACTGGGAGAGAGACAGAGAGGGAGGCGGGGGACACACACCAACCAGGGAGGGGGCATCACCTTAATTCACGCTTGGTATCACAGAGCTGGGATTTAGGGTCCGGCTCCCCGGCGTTACATGAAGCCACGCTCCCTTTGTGGCTTCCCCAGCGCTGGCTCCGCTTTCAGGGGGAGGGGGGATTTGGGGTGGGGAGGAGGAGGAGGGGTGTGTGGGGGGGTCATATAAATAATTCATTGCTCGCCGGGGCGGTGTTGCGTTGCAGGACGCATGTTCGTCGTCGGCTGCAGCATGGGCCCGCTGATGCATTACTGGTACCTCTGGCTGGACGCTGCTTTCCCGGCCCGGGGCGTGCGGGGGCTGAAAACCGTCCTGAAAAAAGTCCTTATCGACCAGCTGGTGGCATCGCCCGTCCTGGGCGCCTGGTATTTCTTCGGTACGCGGCGGCACCCGCCTTGTGTCAACACCGCTAAAGATTGAGCGTGGCCCCCAGTGATGTGTTTCAGCGTCGGGGGGCTGGCATGACACCTGTCACCCGCCTTAAGTGGGGGGTGGACGTGGGCTTCCTGGAGCTCCCTCCCTCTGGCACTGCCCTTCCTTCCCATGGTGGTTTTTTTTTTTTTTTGGTATTTTTGGGTGTCTGGCGCAGCTGAGATGGTAATTCCCATCCACGCTCCCCAGCGTGGAGCCTTGTGAGTGCTCCCATCCCCACTGATGTCCGTCTGTCCCCGCAGGCATGGGCACACTGGAGGGCCAGTCCCTAGAGGAGAGCTGGGAGGAGCTGAAGGAGAAATTTTGGGAGTTTTACAAGGTAAATACACCCCCCCCACCTCAGCTCTTCCATCTCCGGAGCGAAATGGGCTCCGGCGAGTTGCTCCTGACTGCTCTTTGCTCTCGGCAGGCTGACTGGTGCATCTGGCCGGTGGCTCAACTCATGAATTTCCTCTTCGTCCCGCCCAAGTACCGGGTGGTTTACGTCAACGTGATCACGCTGGGCTGGGACACCTACCTCTCCTACCTCAAACACAGGGTGAGCGCCGGCACCGCGCCGTGCCTTGGCGGCCCGCCGGGCTCGTGCTGAGCCATGAGCTGCCATTTCTTCTCTTTTCTAGCCCAGCAGCCCCCCGAGCGCCAAGGATGAGTCGCTGCGCGAGAGCCAGCGCAGTGTCGGGGCGTAAGGAGGCGACAGCGGCTCCCGGCGACATTTTCCAGGGCTCCTACGAGCGGTTTTCTTGCCGTCGTGGCTCAACCCACCCAACGAAAGCGACGCTGGGAGCCTGCTGCCACCACCACCTGCAGCTTGGGCAAATCTTTGCCAGTTAACTCATCTGCTGATTACAGTGATGGGGCTGGGGTATTTTTAACCAATCTCCTGTCATGGGCTAGCCTGTAAAATGATTTCTTTTTGTATTCCTCCACAGAGCCCGCGCTGCCAGGGCAGCAAGGGGCTGCGGCAGCTCTGCTTTGCCTTCAGTGCCCCGGGCAAGGGCCCCAGGGCTCTCCCCTCTGCTGCAGCCAGGGTTTGGGGTTTTTTTCCCCATTTTTCAGGGCAAGGCTGGCCCCTTGCTCCCCTCCAACACTCTCCTCTGCTATTCTGCAGAACCAGCGACGTGGGGCCCTGCCCCGCAGCTGCTTGGCACAGAGATGCTGCCCCTCCGCTCCCAGTACAGCTCCTCAGCCCTTTCCCTGTTGCTTTTTTGTCTTCAAGCTGAAGGGAAGAAGTCACTCAGCTTCCCCTCCCTCTCTCCGCCGACCTCGGCTTCTTTTCATTCCACCTTGCACTCCCTCCCTCCTCAGCACCGTGCGTGGGCTCTGCTGGGCTGGGCTGCAGCCACCCAGTTTTTATAAAAATAGCGGTGCGATCGCTGCCACCTGCTCACCGCCACGCTTGACAGCGGCAGAGTCGACACAGAGGCGGTTGAGGGGTTTTTAAGGCAAAGTTTTTTGCAGGATTTGGACCGTGGCATCCCTCTCATCCCAGCCCAGCAGCTCCCTGGGGAAACTGGACACTCGCTCCAAAACCTGCAAACTTATTTATTTCCAGCAGCGCTGAAAAACTGCCTAAATAGGATTTTTCTAAAGCTTAAAGCCGTGCCTTACTTCCAGCTCTGTCCTTGCCCCTCCTGCCACACACCCCTGAGGGGACAGCAGCCCTCCCACCACAGCAAGCCGAGCTGCTGAGCCGAGCTGCTGAGCCGAGCTGCTGAGCCACGGCAGGAGCCATTTGGTGAATGCTAATTAAGAAACCAGATCGCTTTTGCTTCTCTCCGGCAACGAGCTCACCAGCGCAGGGCTGAGGAGAGCCGAGGTTATCGACGGCGAGCAAAGGGGCCCATCCTGCTGCCCCCTCTCCACCTGCAATGACCCCGAGGGACCGGTGATCAGCATTGATTTATTTCTTCACAACATTTCTTTAATACAGTGATTTTTAGGAAATTGTACTCTTTTGACACTTTTGACATTTGTACAGTACAGTGTAACTCGTCCATAAGTAAACTTCACAAAAAATAGGAAAGGGGAAGGGGAGGAGGAGGGTACTGGGGTCTAGGAGGTGGGGAAAACCTGTAAAATAAAGACACAGCGCTCCAAGAAAAATAAATAGAGGGCAGCAAGACCTCTGGGTCTGTCATCGCTACAGGAATATCCACTTATTCACAGTCTCCACAGAAGCACAGTACTACAGGAACACACAAGGAGCCAAACGCCCTGGAGCAAGTTAGCAACACTCCTCCAAGCCCCGCTCGCCCCCCACGAGCCAAAACTGGGGGCTCTGCAAGGTCCCTGGCCCTGAACTGGGGCTAATTTGCTACAGCTTGCTTAGCTAACCTCATTCATGTTTGGTTTTTTTTTTTGTTTTTTTAGTTTTTTCCTCTTAAACCTTTAAATAATAGATTTTTGTTTAAAAGTGATATTCACAAGCAAGGTTACCACACTGAGGGAAAAAAAATAAAATAAATGCACCAACACGGCCACAGCACAGCAGGTCACGCGCACAGCGTCACTTCCTACGCCTATTTACAAGGAGTTTCTCTTATGTACAAGGAGGAAGACGGCGGGAGCATAAATTAGCATCTATTTATACAAATAAACAAGAGTTAGGAAATATCCATTCATCTGGGGGGGGAGTGGGGAGGAGAACCAGGTGCAAAGAGCCCCCAGGAGCTCTTTGGGCAGGCAGGACTGCTGCCAGGCTGGGGAGGGGGACACGGCAGGTCCCAGCTGGAACAGGAGGTTTTTGGGGGTCCCATCATAGACCACCCCCACCACCCCCCCCTATCCCAGGCAGGGGGCCTGTCCCTGGTCCCTGGGGAGGGATGGGACTGGGAACAATGGGAGCTGGTGGTGGCGAGCAGAGAAAATAATATTTCTCGGAGAATGGGGCTCATGGAACAATTAAAAGCAGAATGAGGGGAGTTTTCTACCAGCCCAGGCTTAAAAATAAATTAAGGGGGGGCGCACAGCCTAACTGAACTGAGGGCGGGGGGAGGCTCCTAGAGGGGCCGCAGCCCTTCTGGAGGTATCAGCAGCAAAAACCCCCATGGGATCCCCAAGAGGAGGGACTTGGGGGTGGCGGGGTGGGTAGGGGGGGGGATGCACTGACCGATTTTTGGGGGGTGCGTAGAGGGGGGGGGCTGGCCCTAGCAGGCACAGTCCTGGTGCGGGGGAGCCTGCTGGTCCGTGAGCTGGGGGCCCTGCTTGGCGCCGGTGACCGCCGGGTCGGCCGTGTCCAGCGACTCCGACATCTTCTCACAGATGATGTCCACCAGCCGCTCGAAGGTCTGCTTGACGTTGATGTTGTCCTTGGCGCTGGCCTCAAAAAACTCAAAACCTGGCAGGGGGGAAAACGAGGGAACGTGGAAAGGAGGGAGGGGGGGACACACGCACATCAAACCCCCACCCTGCATCCAGCCGCCCAACATTGGAAACCTTGCCCAGCTCCTCCTCCCCTCGTTAAATATTAAAGGCCTTCGTGTGCCGCTCGGCCAGACCACCCCGCTGCAACCTGCCCCTGCACCCACCCTGGGGGGGCACCCAATTTCCACCCCCCCTCCCCAGCACTTCTCAGCAGCGGGTTTACAGGGCTGTAATTGAAACCACCATCACATCCCAGTGCTCACAGCTTAATTACACCTTTTTTTTTTTTTTTTTTTTTTTGTCTTCTCATTAGGTGACAAGTCACCGCTGCTATTGAAGCGGAGTTACAGCAAGGGAATTAAGCCCCTAATTAAATTATTTGTCAGAAGATGGCCCCCCCCCCCCCCCTTACCCAGATGCTCGGCGAGCTGGCGGCCCTTCTCCGAGGAGACGACGCGCTCGTCCTCCATGTCACATTTGTTCCCCACCAGCAGGACTTGGGCGTTGTCCCAGGAGTAGGTTTTGATCTGGGTGGACCTTTGGGGGAAGGCAAAGAGGGAAATCACACCAGACACACACACACACACAGAGACACAGGGGTGGGGGGGGGTCCCCCGGAGCCAACCCCCAGCGCTCACCAGTCCTGCACGGCGTTGAAGGACTCTTCGTTGGTGATGTCGTACATCAGGATGAAGCCCATGGCGCCGCGGGTAGTAGGCAGTGGTGATGGTGCGGTACCGCTCCTGGCCGGCTGTATCCTGGTCAGGGAAGGGACACACGGACACACACACACACACAGACAGAGAAAATGGCATGTCAAACACTCCCCCCCGCCAAGGGACATGGAGACACTGGTGGCTTGCAGCATTCAGCCACCCCTCAGGGCACTCCAAGGGACATCGGGGTCCCCCCCCCCCAGGGACGCATCCACTCCCTCCCAGCACCATCCCCAGCATCAAACAGCAGAGCAGCCCCACGCCAACGCGGGGAGGACACCCTGGGGGGTCTCACCCAAATCTGCAGCTTGATGCGTTTGTCGTTCCGGTAGATAGTCTTGACCTTGAAGTCGATGCCGACGGTGCTGACGAAGGCGGGTGTGAAGGAGTCGTCGGCGTACCGGAAGAGGAAAGAGGTTTTCCCCACGCTGCTGTTGCCGATGATCAGGATCTTGAACATGTAGTCGAAGTTCTGGTCGGAGGATTCCTTCTGCCCATAGCGGGAGTCGGTAGCGGACGCCATCTGCAAGAGGAGAGGCCGTTAACAGGGGGCGGCCGGGCTGGCGGTGGCGAACGCCGCGATCCGGAGCCGTTTCCCACCGGTTTCGTCCCGTTTTGATTCGGGATGGGCGAGCATCACCGCCGTGCCATCAGCGGGGGTCACTCAGCCCCAGTGGGGTGTACCAGGCCAGCTCCTGTCACCCTCAATGCAAGCACCCGCAAAAAGATGCCTGCAGCAAATGTGGGGTGCACGGATCCCGGCGTTTTGCTGGCATGGGGGGGGTGTGGGGGGGGGTGTGTGTGGGATCATGACCCTGGCATGCCAGGGGGCTGCAGCTTCTCCTGCAAAATGGCACCTTGCAGCGATGTCCCCACACGCCGTGCCCAGCGCGGTGGGTGCTGCGGGGAGGGTGCTCGGTGCGCTTTGGCGTGGCAGGGAGGGGGGGAGTAATGCTGAGCAGGGGTGCACAGAGGTGGGTGCTCGCCCAGGGCTGCAGGGCGGTGCAGGGTGCTGCAGGGCGGAGCGTGGGGATGCCGGGCAGTGGGTGCTGCGGGGGTGTCGGGTGCTGGGGGGGAAGGAGGGGGAGGGTGCGCAGGGTGCTGCAGGGTGCTGCGGGGGGGGAGAGCAGGGTGCTGCAGGGAGGGGGCTCAGCCCCACCCCCTCCCCGCAGGCCCGACCCCAGTGCACCCGGCCGGTCCCCGCCGGTCCCCGGTGCGCCGAGACACACACCCCCCCCCCCCAAAATATACACACACACAGCGGGGAGCGCGACAACCCCCCCCCCCGCCCCTCCCTGCCCCACCCCCCCTGCGGTGCAGCCGCTGCCTCCCCCGGTGTCGGGGGGTACCCGGGGAAAGGGAGGGGGGGGGGTCGTGGAAAAAAGGGGGGGGGGCTGTGAAATGGAAAGTTGGGGGGGGGGGGGGGTGGAGCGGGGGCGCGCGCTCACCTCCAGCCCGCGCTCGCGCCGCCGCCTCCTCCTGCAGCAACTGCAGCAGCGGCGCGCGCCGCCCCGCCGGTTGCAGAGCCCGGATGACGTCGCCGCGGGGGGGGGGGAAGGATTGGAGGGGGGTGGGGGCGGGGCACAGCATGTAAATGAGAGTGCGACGTCAGCGGCCGGGCCCCAAAGAGGAGCGTTGATTGGTCGGTAGCGCGCTGTGATGGACAGCCGGCCGAGTGCCACGCCAAGAAGGGCGGAGGGGCGGGGGGGGGGGGGGGGCTGGGGGGAGGGGAGGAGGCTCCCCCCTCCCGGCGCGGTGGTGGGAACCGCCCTCCTCCCTTTTTGCAGCGCTTCGTGGTGCGGTCCGGCAGCGCTGCGGGGGCTGGGGGCTGAACCATCCCCGCCCCGGGCGGGGGGACGCAGGGCGGACCATTCCCGCTCGAGGGGGGACAACCATTCGTCTGCGCTCAAGGGGGACGAGCCTTCACAGCCTCCCCTGTCACATTGACCCCCTGTCGCGACGGCCAGCTCGACACACACCCCCTCCCTTTCAGGCTTGCAGCCACAGGCAGACTGACCCCATCCCCTGACCTTGCTGTGAGGTGAGGCCCAGTGCTCCCAGTCCCCAGCCCAGCTGGGGCGGCCATGTCCTCCCTCGCCCTGAGGCAATCAGCAGGGATTAGGGGGAAGCAGCATATGGCGGCATATGGCCCCGCCGGCCCCGGCTGCAGCAACACTCCCTCGCCCTGGCCTGCCTCTGCCCTGCCCAAAGCCCGGCAGGCCCTGGGCGCGTGGGCTCTGCCACCTTCCACGGTGCACGGGTGCTGCAGCCCCTCAGCCAAGCGAAGCGGGGAAAAGGGCTTTTTTTAACCAGCAGGAGGGAGCAGGGAGCCTCATCTGCACCCGGCGCACGGCCCTGCTCCGTTGGGAGACGGGGGTGCACCCACCCGGGAGGTGGAGATGGCGCAGAGCCACCCGCCAGCAGCACCCAGCGCTCCTGGCCCACCTGGAAACTGGGTGGACTGGGAAAGGAGCATCCCACAGCGCCCAGTGCCGACAGAGGCGGGCGCTGGGGGAGAGCTGGCAGGGCCCCACGTGCCCTGGGCAGTGCCACGGGTGGGGACGTGTTTGCGGATAGAAATCATCATCATCGGGAGCAATGCGGAAGAGCTGGGGAACGGGCTCCGCGCCGCGCCAAGCCGGCGATTAAATATTTACCTTAGCTGGTTGTGTTTGCCGGTGACGGAGCGACGTTTCCAGGGAGGAGCTCGCTTTTGTTCAGACACGGAGCAGGGCCCTCCCCGGTGCCCAGCAGGGACGGGGCCGCCAACCATGCCGGTCCCTGGGGACATTGGCCCAACCGGCACAACCACAGCTCCCGTGGCAGCCGCGTGGTAAAGAGGCGCTTCCGAGGCTCACGTTTGGGGCGGAACAAACCAGGTTTAATTTCTGGAAACGTGAAGGAAGAAACAGAAAGGACCCAGGTGCTGCCCGGGGCCGGGGAGGGTCACACCGCCCGCCGGGGCCCAAAGTGCAAAGTACAAACGCAGCATTTCGAGTGCAGAAACGTGTCTTTCTGCCACAGGAACGCGTGTGCGTGCGCTGAGGTGAGGCTTGGATTAAAAAGTGAGCTACAAAAGGCTTTAAAAAGTGGACCTGTCCCCAAAGAAATAAACCACGGGCTTGTGGCCGTGCCCTGGTGCCTGGCCGCGCCGAGGACCCTCGTGCTGGGGGCTGTCGCCAGCACCCTTCGGCTGCTGTTCTGCGTGGGGCCATCCGGAGACACACCAAAATGCTTTTGGCTGTGCCTGGCCCTGTGGGGGACCTCTTTCCTGGAGGCCTGTGGGGCATGATGTCCCCAGGGCCGGGATGAGGCAGGAGCACAGTGTCCCCAAGCCCTGCCTGAAGGGGACAGGGAATTTTCCCAGGGGACGTGGGGTGGGAGCTGGGGACAGTCAGTGGGAGAGGGCGAGCAGCGTCCTCGTGCCCATCAGGACCTGCCCAGCTCCTGCGTAGGGACACGCTTGGGTCCTTCTGTGTCCCAATGGTGACAGTGCTCTCCACTGCCAGCTCTCCCACTCCCCCCAGCACCTGCTGGGACAGCACCCAGTCCCACGTCCCCACGGCAGCGAGGGGACCCACGGGCTGGTGCCGCTACGTGCCATGGGGCAGGAATGTGAGGTTGCCCTCTGTGTCCAGGCACATCCCATGGCTGCCTTCGGGCCCCAGCACTGAGCACCCGCCGCCACCACCGTCCTTCGGCAGCGTCCCCTCCAGCGCCCGCCGGTTGTCCACGTCCCTGGGGTGGGGGACAGGTGAGTCCTGGTCCCCGGGGTCGGGTGACAAGTGCTCAGTGTCAGCCACCTCCGAGTCATCTGTGGCTGGTGTCTTGGAGCCACTGTTGTCCTCATCCAAGGGGCTCTCGGCCCCCTCCGGCTCCGTGTCCGACTCGCCCTCCTCCTCCAGGGTCAGCTCAAACTGGAACTTATCGGTGGTGGCGCGGGACGCTCCGGGTCCCTCGGGTGGTGGGGATGGGCTGCGTGGGATCATGCTCTGGTACCATTCCCGGTTGTCCTCCAGCGTGTCCAGGATCTCCTGGGCATCGGGGTGCACCAGGTCGGCCCATGTCTCCCACAGCGGATGGGCGATGAAGTCTATGAAGCCCACCTGTGGGGAAGGTAGAGCTTAGCCCCCAGCCCGGCCCCGTGACTCCCAACCGGCCCCACACCGCTGCCCCACCTGGGATTTCTCCACCGAGGCAGTGTGCTTGTCGCACATGGGGCTGATCTCCATCCCCTTCTCCCGCTCCCAGTCGCCTTGGCGGAAGAACTCCACCATGATGCGGTCGGTCCATTGCCGGTAGAGCTCCAGCGGCTTCGTGGGGTTGCTGAGGTCAGCGCAGTGCACCATGTTCTGCAGGACCTGTGGACACAGCCGTGCCATCGCTTACCCAAAGCCCTTTGTCCCCCAGGGCCACCACCCCTGTGCCAGGAACCCCTAGTTGGCCATGGCCAGCTAGGGTTGGGAGAGGTGGTAGCACCTAAGAGGACATCCTGGCAGCCCTGGCCAGAACCAGGACCAATGCCTGCAATGCCAGGAAAGTTTTCCCACCCATGTCCCCGTGCCCACCTGGATCCGGTCAGAGTAATTGTCCAGCAGCAGCACCCCCAGGCTGGTCACCTTCTTGGTTTCCACCATGGTTTTCAAATCCGCCAGCAGATTCATATGCTTGGACATGTCTGTGGCCAGCACCTGGGCAGGCCAAGCCGGGAATGGGGCTCAGCCTGACCCCACCACAAAGCCCCCCAGTCCAGACACCCCACCCCAGGGTGGTCCAAGCCCGCCCCCCGTACCATGTCAATGGCCATTTTGCGGAGTGACTGCCTCTGCTTTTTGCTCAGGTTTTGGAAGATGTCGCAGTTCTCCTCCTGGAGAAGCTTGAAGCCCACGGCCAGGTGGTGGTTCTCCAGCACTGAGGCGTCATTGTACATCAGCGCCAGCTCTGAGTCTGTGAGACAACACCGGTCACCCTGGGGTGGACCCCAGGGTCCCCCCACACCCTCCCCAGCTCCACCCCTGCACCCCAGCTCACTGGTGTTGATGAGGAACTGGTTGGAAACACCGGGGTGGTCAACATCATGGATGGCACTGGCGAAGATGGCAGCCATGATCTCCAGGTCTGTGAAGACAGCCTAAGAACGGTGGAAAAAAGGTATTGCGGATGTGTTATGGCCCCACCAGACACACGTGGTAGCCTCAGTGGCCTTGGGTGACCAGGGCTCACCTCCAGTGCAGGCGTGGAGAGGAGGACATGAGTGGACTGTGCCACGTCGGCGGCATGGATGTTATTGTGGTAGGCCACGTCGGTGTGGTAGTGGTCCTCCAGCGTCAGCATGTAGGTGATGAAGGTGTTGACGGGGATGCGGAAGGTCTTCATCAGGTCACGCTCCTGCGGGGAGGCAGGAGGTGGCTCATCCCCATCCGGGCATGGGGACGAGGACATCCCGTTGGGACGCTCACCTGGAAGATGCTGTACATGATGACCGTCAGCGGGCGGTTGCCCGAGTACTCGGCGACTTTAAACACGTTGAGCCCCCATTTGTTGGTGTCCTCTAGCTCCTGGGGACCAGAGGGACAGAGGTCCATGCCGGGCCAGCACCAGGGACCCCACGGCCGGCTGGGCCACCCCCGCGGGGCCCACCTTGGCCAGTAGCTCCTCCTGGTCCGTCCGCACCCCGAAGCGGGGGATGCCGGCAGCGGCGAGGCTGGAGCCGTGCGTGAGCTTCCTGACGCCGCTGATCTGGGACATCGGGCGCTTCCTCCGCTCCTCCTTGTCCTTGCCCAGTGCCGAGGGGATCTCCACCTCATGCTGCTTGTCTGGGCCGACGCGAGGGGGACCGTGAGCAGGGCAAGACCCCGATGTTCCCTGTCCCCAACAACCCCCCAACATCCATCCCCCTCCCCAGTCATGTCGATGATGTCAGCTGGCACGGAGAACACCGTGATGCTGTGGCAACGGTGGGGGCTGCACAGGGGATGCCCAGTGCTTCCCCTCATCCCCCCCTCCCCAATACCCTGCACGGGGCCACCCGCCTGCTGTGGCACCCAGATCCTGCCCTGGGCACCCCAACAGCCCCAGTGTGCACCAGTATACACCAGCATATCCAGGCAGGACAAAGGCTGTGACACCCCCATGGTAGCAAATCCCACAGGGACACCTGAGAAAGCCCCTCTCTGCTCTCCCCACCCCCCCCCCACCCCCCCCATTTAATTTATTTGAAAAAAGCAAGAAGGACCTGCCGCTGGCACCGTCCTCATGGGCACCCAGTGCCACAGGATTTGTGCCCAGGTCCCTGCGGGCACGAAACCCACCCTGCTGCCAGCAGAGAGGTGACACCAGCTGGTGTCCCCAAGGTGTGTGTGTGTTGGGGGGGGGGGGGGGGGAAGGGGGGGTGTCCTCACCCAGGAAGGTTCTGGAGATGTACTCGGAGACCTGGTTCCCCGAGCGGCTCGTCTCCGAGAGGTGCGTCAGCTCCCGGTTCAGCATCCTTTTGAACTGCGGGCAGTGGGCAGGGCTCAGTGGTGCGGGGGGCAGGCAGGACCCCTGGCTGCCCGTCTCCGGTGCAGGGTTGTCCATGCCCCCACCCTCCACCCCTCTGCCAGGAAGATGTCAGGGGGGCTCCACGCAGGGGACCCTTACCTTGTTGGAAGCCATCTCGCTGACCGAGTGCCTGGTCTGCAGTGTTTCCAGCTGGTCCAGGCACCAGTCCAGCTCCTCCAGGGTCTCCCGCGAGAGCTTCTGGTGGGCATCTTCTGCCAAGGGCACCCGTTGGCTTGGCAAGGGTCCTGCCGACGGCACGGCCACCCGGCACGGGGGCACCCCCAGGATCCCGGCCGCAGCACCCCGAGTCCCAGCGGATGGCTGTGCCGCACCGAACCCAGGGGTGCACCAGCTTGGCTGCTCACATCACCCCCTGAGCGGGGCGGCTGGGAGCACGGGGGGATGCAGGGGACTGGCCGGGGCTGGGGGTCAGGGTCGAGCATCCCCAGACAGCGGGGTTCCTCCCCGGCACGCCGTCCCCGTCGCACGGCAGCCCCGGCACGCGGCGTGTCATGCCGTCCCCGTGGGGTGACGGCCAGCTTGGGGGCAGCCGGGCTCCCGCGGGGCCCCGCTCACTACCAGGGTTTTATTAATGGAAGGTTTGACGTCAACGGGAGCCTTTCCACCGCCGCCGCGGCGCGGAGGGCGGCCAGGCGGGAGGAGCTGCCGAAAACCAGACATGGATCCCAAAGGGCAAAGCAGCAGTTCTGTCCCAGATGGGGGCGGGGGGGGGGGGGGGAGTGGGGGGTGGCGGCCTTGCTGCACCCCCAGGGCCCAGTAGAACTCATCCCTAGGGATATAGGGACAACCAGCTCACCCCCAAATCATCCCCCCATCTTCCCCTCTGGCACTCACCGGCGAGGCTGGCCTTGCTCCCGGAGGGCAGGCTGCTGCTTGACGCTCGCCTGTAAAATGGGGGGGGTGGGGTGTGCTGAGCAGTTGGGACCCCCCCAGGGTGGGGTGTGTGTGGGGGGGTGTGTGTGTGTGTCCCTTTCCCATGGGTTGGAGCCCCCCACCCAAGTGAGACCCTCGCTTGTCCTACAGCCGACTCACTTGACACCAGCGCGGTCCTGGAGGTGGGTCAGGTTGCTCCGGACGGTGCGGAGGCTGGCCAGGACCTGGGGGGATGAGGAGGGGCTGGGGCCAGGTGGACGCCCCCCCCGGCTGAGGGACACCCACCCCGGCGTTGGGTGCAGGGACGTGTCCCTTCCTCACCGGGGCACAGGGATGGCACCTACCTGGGCAAACGGTGTGACGATCATGTCTTCTCCATGCCTGTGGGAGCAAAGGGAGCATGAATTTCAGGGGAGGGGGTCTTAGGGGACTCGGGGAGGGGGGACACAACACCACACACTCACAGGTCACTGGCGATGGAGGAGTTGCGGGACATGGCTTTTGGGGACAGGTCGTAGTCGCTGTCGGAGCGGTAGAGGAAGGACTCGCGGCGCTGGCCATGGGTGAAGGTGCCTTGCAGGACCAGCCCCGCGCCTGGGCTGGCCTGGGGGTCCAGCGTGCCCCGACCCGGGGGGCCATTCTCCAGGTCAAAGCTGCAGGGGGGGGGATTAGGGACAAGGCTGGCACGAGGCGGGTGGCCCCGGGGACCTCAGCCCACAGGTGCTCTGGCACAGCCCGGGGGATGCTGCCAGGTTGGCCAGGCTCTCCGTGCCACCGTCCGGCTCAGCCCAGCTCACCCCGGCTCGGTGGCCCCTGCGGTGACACCGGCCACCGCCCCGCCTGGCCCCGCCAGCTCCTTCAACCCGGTGCTGAGAACAGACACAACTCGGTGCATGTGGACCCCCCTCAGCACCCCTGCCAGCACAGTTTGGTCTGGGGACACTGGCTAGCAAAGGCGGGTTGTCCCATGTCACTCAGGTGGGACAGGACCCCCCTGCCCTGAAGCCCCTGGCTCCAGAGACCCCAGGAAGAGATGGATCCTGCCCATCCCGTCCCCTCCTCGTCCCCAGCACCGTGGTCCCCGATTGTCCCAAGTCCTCAAAAGCCTCAAAGCCACCATCAGCGCTGGCTTGGGGTGCTGTGTCCCCAGGGAGGGGGGACAACAACACGGTGGCATAGAGCCAGGGGACATCAAAGGACAGAAACCAAGAAAGCCAAGCCCAGACCCTTGGGGACACGCTGGTGGCACCCCAACCAGAGCCACCTGGCAGCTGTGCGGGTCCGTGGGGGGGACACGGGATATGGGGACAGGGACGGTGGCCCTGCGGTGTCCCCGTGGTGGCCACGACCGTCTTGTCCTGCTGGCCCTGGGGTCATGGGAAAGGCTGCACGCCGGGACGCAGTGAGGGCCACCCAGCTCCTGTCCCCCTCCCGCTGCCATTGACGGGGACGAGCCACCCCAGAGCACTGGGCAAACTGGGAAAGCGCGGATGCCACCGTGGCCACCCTGTCCCCATCGCGCTGCTGGGACCCCAGCACCTACCCGATACAGGAGTGCCTCCGGGACGGGCACCGGCTGCCCGGCAGCATCCCCCGGCCCCGGTAGTGGCACCGGCTGCCCTGGTCCCTACGGCGTGACCGTCCCCGGCGGTGGCAGAGCCGGCCAGGCACCGCGTCCCGCCGTCCCGCAGCCCCTTGTTTTCCTGCCTCTGCTTCACGTCCCCGATGGTACCGGGGACACAAAGCCGCATTGTGATGCCCGCGTCCATTCCCGGCTCCGTGCCACCACCTCTGACCCCGCTGTCACCCCGGGGGGACAACCCCGAGCACCCCGGGGTGAGCTGGGGGGACATGACCCGCCACCAAAGGGCTGGTGCCGAATTAACCCCCCTCATTTCAGCGACGGGCTGGCAGCATTAATAACTGCCGAGTGGTGCCGGATGGCGGGGCGGGGGGGGGAGGACTGGGGGCCGCTATAAATAGATGCTGTTGCTGCTGAGGAGGGATCTGCTGATCCCCACGGCGCCCACGCAGGTGGGGCCAACCCCCACCAGCACACCGGAGCGTGGGCAGGGGGGCACCCCAAAACAAACCTTATATAGCTCCAATGGGGGGGAAAAAAAGGGGGGTGGTGGGCAGCGAGGTGCCTGGCTGTGCTGTGGTGGGTGGTTGGGTGCTTTGCTGGGCCGAGAAAAGCCCTTCTGCCCCACAGCCCCCACCCTGGTCCACCCCCCCCAGCCGTGGGGCAGGCGCTCAGTGCACCCACTGGGTCCCTGCTTGGCCATCGCTGCAATGAGTGCGGCCGTGCTCAGCCATGCTCAGCCCCCTGCCCGGCTCAGCCCATGACTGTGTGGTGACACCCCCCCCCCCCCATATATCCCCTGCTCATCCCCTCCATGAGCCCACAGCCCTGGGGACGTGTCACAGCATCGAGAAGTGGGGGGGTCCACAGTGACCCCTTCACGGTAGCGCAGCCCGGTGCCTCCTCCCGCTCAGCCACGCGGCCCCGTGTTGGGGACCCTCCAGCGTGTGTGTGTGTGTGTGTCCCCCTTACCAGAGGGGATGCGCCACGGTGAAGCGCCGCTGCAGGCGGATGCTCTGGTTCATCAGGAGCTTCCTGAAGAGGACGGGGGAATGCCGGGGGGAATTGCAAGGGGAAGCCGCCGGCGAAGCCCCCGGCGAGCGGTGCGCGGTGGGCAGCATGGCCGTGGCTCGGCAACCCCCGGCGCGGGCGGTGAGGCCACGGTGCCCGCCGGTGCAGAGCAGGAAGCGCACGGCCGTCCCAGTCCCGGCCCCGGGAAACTTTCCATCCCCCCCCTCTCCCGCCCGCTCCTGGGAAATTAAACAACTGTCTGGCTCCGGCAGCCGGCACATGGAGCGGGTGTCCCCCCCCCCCCCGCCTTCCTCCCCGCCGCCCCGGCTGCGCCGGCCCGGTGTGCACCCGGCTGGCTGGACACGTGGCCCCTCGCTGGCCCCGTGCCACCGGCCGCCTTGCTGTCCCCAAGGCGGCAGCTGCTCCCGAAAGGACAGGGGTGCAAAATGCCACGCTGAGCTCCAAGTGACCCGGACATATGGAGTGGCCGTGCCGCGGTGCCACCGAGGGATGTGGCTGAGCCTGGAGCATCCAGGACGCAAGGTGTGGCTGCATCACGGTGTCACGGAGGGACACGTCTGACCCTGGGGCATTGTGGACACACGGTGTGGCCACGCCACGGTACCACGGAGGGACACATCTGAGCCTGGAGCATCCTGGACACATGGTGTGACCATGCTATGGTGCCATGGAGGGACATGGCTGAGCCTGGAACATCCTGGAATACACAGTGTGGCCACCCCACGGTGCCACGATGGGACACAGCTGACCCTGGGGCATCCTGGACTCATGGTGTGGCCACCCCACAGTGTCACGGAGGGACCCCTGAGAGCCAAGCCCACCCTGGGGCTCCCCTCGTGCCACTCCTTGCTGCCTGCCGTGCTTGCTGGCCAGTGACAGTGGCACCCACAGGGGAGCCATGGGCCCGGCCGTGGGAGCTGGCGCCTGCCCAGCCTGGCTGGATACCCGCTGTTCCCCACGGCCACAAAAATACCCGGCAGCTGGCGGGAACCCAGGAGGGACAGCAACAGGGCCCCCCCTCCTCCGCGGGGACCCCAAAACCCTCCGGATAGGGGTCCCGGTGGCAGGGTCCCCCTCGCTTCCAAAGGACTGCAAGCACCATCATGGGGACACCAGGGCAGAGGGACACTGGGACAGAGGGACAAGAGGGGACGGTGGGGCGGGGGCAGAACCGGCCTCTCCCCGGGCTGCAGGGCAGGACTGGCCACAGGACAGCCAGTCCCTGTCCCCAGGACAACCAGTCCCTGTTCCCTCATGGGCTGTGGCTGTCCCCACCGGACACGTGTCTGTGTGACAGCGAGTGACACCGGAGCCAGGTCCTTGGGCTGTGCCAGTCCCAAACTGTCCCTGCAAGCCGGGCTGGGACATGCATGGGGCGGGGGTGTGGGGGGGATGAAATGGCCCAAAAATAACCGTGCAGCAGAACGGTCGAGTCCCAGCGGGAGAGACCGAGGTCACCTCCGGGCAGGGCCAGGCCAGCGCTGCGGTGACAGCCGGCTGGAACAGGGGTTGGGGACACGGGGATGGGGACAAGGAGGGGCTGAGGAGGATGAGGACAGGGATGGGGGTGACAAGGACGGGAGGTGGTGGGGACAGACGGTGAGCAGGATAGACATCCCCAGAGATGGAGCAGCAGGGATGGTGACAGAGGGGTTTGTCCCAAACCCGGTGGTGTCGCAGCGGCCGCTGGCACCCGGTGGTCCGCCGGTGCCGGTGCCGGTGCCGGTGCCGCCCCCCGGGGCCGCTGTCCGCCCGCCGGTGCTGAAACCGGGAGCGGCACCGAGGGCAGGACGCTGTCCGGTAACCCCATCCCGGTGTCCCCGGGGCGAGCAAACACCTCTCCCCCTCCCCCGGTCCGCTCTTACCGGGGGGGTTCGGACTCGTCGCCGCTGCTGGGGCCGCTCTCCTCGATGGTGAAAACCACCCGGGTGGCCTCGGGCTCGGGGCCGCGGGCCCCCTCCGCCAACCGGCAACCCAACGGCGGCAGCAACGGGCTCCCGGAGAAACGGCGGCGAACGGCGCCCAACGCCGCTCCCGGTCCCGACGGGGCGGCTTCAGCGGCGTCGCGGCAGCGCTGCGGGGAAACGGGGGGCGGTGGTGAAGAAGGGGGGGACACGGGTACCGGGGAGCTCTGCCGGGGCGCTGCCCGGTGTCCGTGTGTCCCCCCGCACCCCATCCCCTCCTGCAGCACCGGGGGGGGGGGGGGGGGGAAGGTGTCCCCCCCCCATCACCGGGCGCCGGTAGCGCGCGGGCGCCCCCTGCCGGGCACGGTGCTGCGCTGCACCCCGGGGGCACCGGAGGAGGTGGGGGGGGGGCGGGGGGCGGACACTGGGAGGCATAGGGCCGAGGGCACAGGCGGTGTACCGGGAGCGGCTCGCTCCATAGAGCACGGAGCCGCCGGGAGAACCACCCCCCCCCGCCTCCACCGGAGGGAACACCGGCCCCAGCCCCCCCCCTCCTCCCGGGACCCCGCCGGAAAAACCCCCGGAGCCGGCGCGCAATAACGCGGAGGTGAATAATAATTAACCGCCCATTAAGGGGATAATTAACTCCCGCTGAGCGCCGCCCCATCCCGGTTATTGCCACCCGGGGGCCCCGCGCTGGGATGTTCGTACCGGGGACACCCCCCCACACCCCGGGGACACCCCCCCCCCCTCCCCGGTCCCGGTCGGGGTCTCACCTCCGCGCCGAGGAAGGGGAGCGCCGTCCGGCTCCGTCGCATCGCTGTCCCTGCCGAGGGGAGCTCCGGGAGCCGCGGCCGGAGGGGACTCGGTGATGGGGGGACAACCCCCCCCCCCCGTTTTACCAGGACCGAGGCCACCCACGGGCCAGGACACGGGGGTTCCTCCCACCCGTGATTTCTGGGTGCCGGGGCTCAGCTGTGGCGGCTGCACGGGCTTAACCCCCACCTCTGCTTTGAGGGTCCCACACTGCCCCCCCCCCCCCCGCCACAGCCCCCCCCACTTCCCCAGTGTCCTCGAGGGCTGGACGAGGTCAGGCCACCCAGGATGGCGGGGGGGACGTGGGCCCGAGGCCACGGGGATGGCCCCCCCAGCACCCATCAAGCCGTGAACCCACCGGTACCACGTTAACAATCAACCATGGGCACCCGTTACCCACCGTCCCCGCAGGAACCGGGGCACACCGAGGGTGGCTCAGCTGGTTGCACCCATGGACCCCCCCCCATCCCCTGGGGCTGAGCCCCCACACCCCCCCAGCTGCCACCGGGAGCAGTTTCAGCCCCATCCTGAGGGATGCTGAGTCCCGGCACGGGGGGGTCCCTGCTGCCACTGGCCCCCCGCCCTCACCCGCAGCCCCTTACCAGCACCCGGTCCTCGCAGCGTGCCGTGGCCCCGGCCGAGTGCAACGGAGCAGAAGGAAAGCGACGTGCGTGCCTGGCCGCGCGCTCCCTCCCATCCCACCCCGCCGGGGGGGTTGCGTGGCCCCCACCACCCTGCACACCACTGTCCCGCACCCAGCACCCACCCTGCCCAGCCTAGGGGCACCCCAGGGCCTCTAACCCGGTACAGGGGACCCCCGAAAGCAGTCGGGGCCTCCCCCAGGACTGGGGATTTTCCCTGGGCAAGGTGCAGAGTGGATTGCAAACGGGAAACCAGAACCTAGGGCAGCAGCTTCTTTATTCAGCAGCATGGGGAGCCCCAGGAGGGAAGGGGGTGCAGTTTGGGGGGTCACCTGGGCATATGGTGGGTGATGGGGGACCCATCTGTCACCTTGCTCTAGGGAAGAGAGAGAGAGAGTGGGGTGAGCACCTGCAGCCCGGCCCTGTAGCCTTCCCCCCACACACACCCCCCGCCCCGTAAATCTCCCCAAACGCACCATGGGCACCTCGTCCAGGTGGCGGAAGCGGGGGGTCCCACGCCGGCACAGCCACACCAGCAGCACCGCTGCTCCCCCCGCCAGCACGCAGACGGAGAGGCAGATAGCAACGACCACACCGGGCTGGGGCTTGGCGAGGGGCTGTGCTGTGGGGGTGAGACGAGCGCCCCGTTATCCCACCCCACCACCCCCGGCACTGCCGAGCCTCCTGCACAGCCTCCGAGAACCACGGCAGCTCTTGGGGTGAGAGGAGGCTCGAGACCGGCTCCAGCTCCCCCCAGACCCAGCACCCAGCGCTCATGTCACCCCGACCCCTGGGGGACGAGCCCGAGGCCCCCCCACCTTCCCTGGCCGGGGTCCCGCAACGCATAGGGTGGGGGAAAAAGGGGGAGCTCCCAAACTCCCCCCTCAAAGCAGATGGGGCAGCACAGGGGGGCTCTGGGTGCAGGTGGGGACCCCCACCCCGGAGCACCCCTGCCCCATCCTGTGAGTGCAGCCCCTGAGTGGGGGGTCTAGGGGGGACCCAGGGCTGCTGCTGTGCCCACGGCCACTGGTAAGTATGGGGGGTCCCTGCCTGCACGGTGCCCCCCCAGCCTGGCGCCCACCTGAGCTGCCGGCCACAGTGCCGGTGGCCAGTGTTGTTCTGGAGCTGGCGGCCGCGGTGCTGCTGGGACCGGGGCTCACTGTGGGTGCTGGCGAGCTGGGAGAAGGAAGGGACCCCGGGAGCCCCGGTGAGGATGGGGTGGGTGCTGCTGTCGAGCTGGATGGATGCTCCGTGGCCGGGGAGCTGGGCACGGCTGGCTGGGATGGAGATGATGCCGTGGTCATGTCGGACGGGGATGTTGGAGGTGCTGCAGAGGCCGGTGTCCACGATGGAGATGATGCCATGGTCATGTTGGATGGGGATGTTGGAGGTGCTGCAGAGGCCGGTGTCCACGATGGAGATGATGCCATGGTCATGTTGGATGGGGATGTTGGAGGTGCTACAGAGGCCGGTGTCCATGATGGAGACAGTGCCGTGGTCATGTCAGATGGTGATGTTGGAGGTGCTGCTGATCCTGATATCCCAGAGGGAGATGATGCCGTGGCAGGGTTGTGTGGAGATGTAGGTGCTGGTGAGCCCGGTGTCATGGGCAGAGATGCTGTTGTGGTGGGGTCAGGAGGTGTCACAGATGCCGCTGCGCTTGCTTTGCCAGATGGAGACAAAGCTGCGGCCGGGCTGGACAGAGTTTTGGCCGTTCCCGTGTCAGAGCTCGATGGAGACACGTTGTGTGTCCCCGAGCTGGTGGCTGCGGCTGAGCTGTATGGAGACGGTGACACAGCTGTCCCTGAGCTGCTTAGAGACACTGTGCTGCTGACATTGACACCGTGTCCTGTCCCTAAAGCGTGGAGGAGAGAGCCGGTCAGTGGGGACACGGCGGGGCCCCGGGAAGGGCAGCAGCACCCCAGCTCCCAGGGTTCATTTTCCAGGTGGTGTCACCATACACAGAGGACCAGAAAAACAGGATTTCACCAATGTCAGATCCCAGAAATCCAGGGTCAGGAAGAGCCTCCCAAGCTGTGGTGACACGGGAACAAGCCGAGCAGTGCAGTGGTGGGGGGGCATGTCCCACGGCACACGTGCCAGCCTGGCCCTCACGGCACCCGCCGGACCCCCCTTGGGGTGGGACACGGCAGCGTTTGCCAGGCAGCGCTGGCAGTGCCCTTATCTGCCAAAGTCTTGTTTGCACAAGAGGAGGAGCAGATCCAGCCTGGCGCCACGGAGCGGGACATCGGGGTGAAATGCCCCATGGCAGAGCCGGCACCCAGCGCCAGCACCCAGGGGAACCGGTGTGTCTGGGTGCTGGGGGTCCCCACAGCCACTGGGGCCACCAGGATGGGCCATTCCCACCCCGCTGCCACCCTGCGCTGGGACGGCAGTGAACTCAGGGCCAAGCACCCAGCGTTGGGTGCCAGCTTCTGCGCCGAGACGGGCGAGCCGAGGCACCTCGGGGTGTGTGTGGGGGGGGGGAGGGGAGGGGTGTTGGGGGCCCAGACTGGAAATGGGGGGACTGTGACGCAGCACAAGGTACTGGGGGGGAGGTGAGGGGGGGCCCCCAGAATGCCAAGGCCGTGCCGGAGCGCCCGTGGCACCCGGGAGCACCGCCCGGCCCAGCCGGTTTGGCAGCACCGATCCTGCCCCACGGTGTTCCCCTCCAGCACCCCCAAGGGGGACAGTCCCCAACCCCTGGGACCCCCGAGAAGGGGGTGAAGCCCACTCCTAATGCCGCAGGTCCCCGGTTGCCCCGGGGCCGGGCTGAGCAGGGCAGGACCCCCCCCCCCGGTAATCCCAGAGCACACCGAGCAGTGCAGGGCGCGGGGGGAGCACAGACACCCACCCGCGCCGTAGCTCCCCGGTGCCGCAGGGCTGGACGATGCCACGGACCCACCCTCGGTGCCCACGCCCCCCCCATCCCCTGCCGTCCCCCCCTCCGGTGCCCCGGTACCTGCAGCGAGCAGGGCAGAGGCGCAGCAGAGCAGAAGGCGGAGCGGGCCCCCGGCCATGCCGCCGCCCGGGCCTGGCTCCGCCGCCGCCTTTATCCGCCCCGGGGGAGGCGGGAGCGACCCCGCCCGCGGAGCTCCTTGATGGTCCCGGGCCCCGCCGTAACCCCGGGACGATCCCCACCCTCACGCCGTGCCTCAGTTTCCCCCGCGCCTCACCCCAACCCCGGTCCGTGAGCCCCTTGCCTGCAGCAGCCCGAGGAGGACAAAGGTCCGGGTGGGGACAAAGGGAATTGGGGACACGGATGTGGTGAGACGGGGGTGTTGGGACAGAGGGATCTGAAGATATGGGGACTTGGGGACATGGATCTGTGGGTGTGGGCATGCCGGGATACAGAGATGGGGGGGGCTGGGGGACAAAGGGGTCTAGGGACATGGGGGGGGGGTGTGGGGATTTAGGGATGTGGGGACACAGAGACTTGGGGACAAAAGGATCCGGGAAGAATGGAAACATCAGGATGTTGGGACTTCAGAATGTTGGGACAAAGGGATCTGAGGACACCGGGACTTGGGGACATGGACCTGCAGGTGTGGGCATGTGGGGACACAGAGATGGGGGGGTTTGGGGACAAAGGGATCTGGGAACACGGGGACTGGGACCTGCAGATGTGGGCATGTAGGGACACCAGGACACAGAGATGTGGGGACTTGAGGACAAAGGGATCTGGGGACACGGAGATATTGGGGTGCGGGGAGTTAGGGACAAAAGGATCCGGGAACACGTAAACATCAGGATGTGGGGACGCAGGATCTGCTGCTGGGCTCTGCCGTGGGGACCTGGGGACGCCCCGTCCGCCTCCGCGCCGGAGCAGCACATCCGGGGTGCAGCACGGCCACGCTGGGACGGGGCCGCTTCCGCTCAGCAGAGAAGGGAGCTTCCTCTCAGCAAACCGCAGCCGGCACCGCGCTGGGTCCTCGGGGCAGCCACGCTCCCCCCTTCTCCCCCACGGCAGGGCCCGTGTGCCAGGCTCCCCGCCAGCCCGGCGATCCTCGGTGCCAGCACGGCACGGCTGCCCAGTGACAAGCAGGCCAATCTCCTCGCCCTCAGGGTCACCGTCCCCGAACGCTCCAGGGGAAGAGGGTCCGTCCCTTGGGCGCTGCTGGGTGGGACGGAGCGGGGACCGGGCCTCGAAGGTGGGGGAACGCGGAGGAAGAGGAGGAGCGATGGTGGTGCCAGGAAGCGAAGTCCGGGGAGGCCCAGCCGGGCGCTGCTGGGGTGACCCTGGGGTGCCAGGGCATTGTGTGTGTGTGTGTGCTGGGGGTGTGTTGGTGACACCCCCCCCCCCCCCCCCATGCCATGGAGGGGCTGCCCCAGGGGTCTGGCAGGGCAGCAGCCGGGGCAGGAGCCCCACAGGCAGCTGGGCTCCCTCCCCACCCGTGGGGAGCCCCCCCCCAAGCAACCCCAGACCCCCCCAGTAACTCCAGACACCCCCCTCAGGGGAAGCCCGAGTAACCCCAGACACCCCCCCCCCTCCCCTTCAAAAGGGGAAGCCCCAATAACCCCAGACACCCCCCCCCCCCCCAGGGGGAAGCCCCAGTAATCCCAGAGCAACTCCCGAAGGGGGAAGCCCCAGTAACCCCAGAGCAAACCCCCTCAGCCCAAGAGAAGCCTCCCCCCCGCCAAAATTCCACCCCCCCAACCCCGGGGGGGGGGGGTTAACCAGATTCCTCCCACCTCCAAATCCCCCCCCCCCAGGGACTCCCCTCCCTTCCCTCCCCGCGTCCCCCACCCCCCCCCCCCCCCGTCCCAAGATGGCAGCCGGCCGCGCCGCTTCCTGCCCGCGCCGGGCCCATCCACCTCCTCCCCCCCCCCCCCGCCGCCATCCCCCCCCCCCCCCCCGGCGCAGCAGACAGCGAGAGGCGGGTCTCGGTGTGGCGGGGTTTTACTGGGGCCTGACTGGAATGTCTGGGGCGCGAGTCCCGGCGGGGGCAGCCCGGGCTCTTCCCTCCACACACACACACACCCCCCCCACCCCCCCTTCCCCAACCCGCCCCATCTCAGTCCGATTTTTTTGCGGGGCGGGCGGCCCCTCACCCCCCCCCCCCCCCCCCTCCCCTCCCTTCCCCACCGCGGGGCCCCTCAGTCCGTGCCCGCGGCGGGAAGCGCGAGGGGGGGTTTCCCCGCCCTCCCCGCGGTCCCCCGTGGGTCAGTAAGCCGGCACCTGGTGCTGGTGCTGGGGCAGGAGCTGGCAGCCGCTGTTGACGTGGCTGAGGACCTTCTGCTTGAGCTGGGCGACCTGCTCTCGGAGCAGGCTGGCGGTGGAGGCCAGCTCCGTGTTTTGGCTCTTGAGGCTCTTCACCTTCTCCTCCAGGCGGGAGATCCGCTCCAGCTTCCTCTTGCGGCATTTCGAGGCGGCGATGCGGTTCCTCAGCCGCTTTCGTTCCGCCTTGATGCGCTCCTGCGTGTCCATGTCGATGGGGGAGAGCGGAGGGCTCTCCCCGAAACTCGGCACCTCCGGGACGATCTGAGGTTCGTCCTTTAAAGGGGGAGGCGGAGGCGGCGGCGGGAGCCGCGGAGGCGGCGCCGCGAAAGGACCGGGGTCGGCGGCGTAGCTCACCGCCGGGTAGCTGCTGAGGTTGGCGTACACCGGCGGCTCCGGGGCCAGGCCGGCGGCGGGCAGCTCGCCCGCTCCGCTGCTTCCTCCTCCTCCTCCGCCGCCGCCGCCTCCGCCGCCGCCGCTCCCCGCCGCGCCGCCGCCCAGCTGGTTTTGCTTGTGCAAGTCCTCCAGGGCTTTGACGAATCCCTCGGCGAACTCCTGCTCCTCGGAGGCGGCCGTTTTCGGGTAGAGGAACTGCCCGCTGGTCGGGGTGGTGGTCACCAGCCCGTTGGACTGGATGATGAGCCGCTCCAGCTCGGGGGACGCCAGCTTCAGCAGCCCCAGCTCGGCCGAGCCCAGAAGCCCCGCCGCTTCGCCGCTCGGGGCTTTCAACGCCGCCGCCACCTGCTCCGGTAACGCCATCCCGAGCGCGTCTTTCTTCATCATGCTGCCGCCGGGGAAGGGCAGGAGGAGCCCGTTGCTACCGGAGGACGGGGCGAAGCCGCTGCCGAGGCCGCTCAACACATCATCATGGTAGAAGGGTGTTTCCATCCTCCTCCCCCGCCCGGCTGCGGGGGAAACGGGGCCGGGGGGGGGGGGGAGGGAGGGGGGGGGGAAGAAGACGGGAACGGGGCGAAGCGCCGCGCCGGGGGGGAGGGGAGGGCGGGGGAGGCGCCGGTGGCACCGGCCGCGGCCCCGGCTCCCGCGCGCGCGCACACACGCGTCTGCCGCCAGCCGCGGCCCCCGCGCCGCTTTAAATAGGCGGCGCCGCCGCGGTGACCTCACCGCGCCGCGCTCCCATTGGCTGCAGATGACGTCCTCGCCCGCCTTCGTTTGCATGGAAGGGGGCGGGGCCTTCGCGGCGATGGGAGGGGTGGCGGTGGGGGAGGAGGAGGAGGCGGGGCCACGCCCACTCCTGGCCCGCGCCGTCGCCGGGGCGACCGGCGGGTAAACGGGACAACAGCGCGCGGGCCGCTGGGCTGACGTCAGGGGATTGGGGGGGGGGCGGTCACGTGTCTCCTCCGCGCGCGCGCGCCCTGATGGGCACAAAGGGGGAGGGGCGGGGCGGGCACCGGACGGTAAATAAATAAACAAATAAATAAATAAATAAACGGGGGAGAAGCGGACACCAGGCAATAAATAAATAAATACATAAATGAATAAATAAGTGAACGGGCCGGGCCGCGGGGGCATCGGCGAGACCCTGCGGGAGCCCCGAACCGGCGGCTGCACCGGGGCTAAACCGGTGCCCGGGCGCACCGGGGCCTGCCCGCCCGGTGCTCACCCCCCCCACGGTGGGACGGGGGCCACTGTGGCCCCCCCCCCCCCCCCGCCGTGTCGCGGCCGCTCCCCGTGTCCCACCGCAGCCCCGACGTTTCGCCGCCGTTTGCGCCCCGGTGGGTCACAACCGGGCTTGGGCCGCCGTTCAAACTGCCCAGCGGGGAAGGAGTTAAAGGGCGGCGATGGCGACACACGTCACGGCCGGCCAAGCCCGCGGGCGGCTGAGGGGGTGGATCGGCGTCAGCAGTGACGTCATCGCCGATAACACACACACACCATTCCCCCCCCCCCCCTCTGCGCCGGCAGGATGCGGCCCCCGCCGCGCGGCCCCGGGGGTCCCGGTACCGCTCGGCGTGGGGACAGCGGGCGCGGGGTGATGCTGAGCCGCCCCCGCTCGCAGCCTGATGGTCCCCGGGTGGCGCTAACGACGGGGAAAAATCACGGGTGTCAGCCGGGGGAGGGGAGGAATACACGGACCCGGTGGTGCTGAGGCTGGGGGGGCACGGCGTGGGGCACTGCATGGGGCGTGGGGACAGCCCCGGCCTCGGGGGACACGGGTGACAACCAAAACCGGCCCACTGGGGGGAAACTGAGGCACGTGGGGAGGGAGCTGGGACCGACGGGGACCTTACCCCCCCCCCCCCCCCCAAACTGCACTTAATTAAATCCTGAATAAACCCAGTTGATTAAACCTCAAATAAACCCGAGGGTCACCCAGCACTGTGTCCCAGGTCCTCCCATCCCTGCTAGATCCCAGTGTCCCCAGTATCCCAGCCTGGGGGGGGGGGGGGTGGCAGAGGTGCTGGTGTCCCCCCGGGGGGGGGCCCGGAGCTCCAGAGTGAAGCCACCGTCCGTGTTTTTGCTCCAAACCCGTCATTAGGGCCGCAGCTGGACCGGCAGGTTCAGACTTTCCGTCCTGATGAAACCCGGCCAGGGATGGGGACAGGGACCGGGGAGGGGACGACACAGCTCCCCCCCGTCCCGCCACAGTGACCCCCAGCCTGGGGACACACCCGTGGCTGCCTGCGCCCTGTGGGCACCCACATCTGTCCCGTGTGGGTCCCCACCCCACCCCGCCATCGCAATCCGGGATGAAACGACAACCAGCTTTGGCTGTAGGTGCTTTAATCGGTTGCAGGGAAGGAACAAATGAGCCCTGGGGCCTCCCTGGAAGAGCGGCTGGCCAGCGGCCACGGATGCGAGCCACAAGCCACCCTCCCAGCCACCGCCACCCCCCTGTGTCCCTCCACCCTAGCCCCTCAGGGCTCATCCTGCTGTCCCCCCCGCTTTCCCCATTGATGCTTGGCCTCCATGGCCCTTATCCCCAAACTGGAGACGCCGCTGGTTGCCTCGCCAGCGGCAACCCGCCGATGCCGGCGGCGAGCCGGCAGCTTCATTTACTTAATGAGCCTTTAATGAGGGTCATGATTCAGCTGCCCCTTCCGCAATCCCACCTGCGGGGAGCACGAGCGAGGGCGGTCCCCATCCGCGGATCTGGTGGCAGTGCCACCGTCACCTCGGCTGGGGACCAAAGCTGATCTTCCCGGAGGCATCGGAGCCCCGCGAGCACCCCTTGAGTCACGCTGCGCCTCGCCGCCTGCCAGCTGGGCTATATTTACCCCGGAGCAGGCAACGAGGATTTCGGCGGAACCTCGGCGAGGCACGACGAGCCTCGAGCGGGGCCACCCTCGCCAGAGCATCCTCCTCACACCTCCTAGGGCGCCGGGTCCCCGTGCAGCTCCTGCTCTCCCCATTTCCCCGGCCCCAGTCCACCAGCGGGGCCGATCCTGCTCCGGCCAGGAGCTGGGACAAGGTGCCATGCCACCACTTAACGACTGAGGATACGGGCTGGACCTGAAGGAAGATGCCCACGAGCTCCTGTGGATGTACCCGCATCCTCCTGCCCTCCCGGCACGCCGAAAAGGGAACAAGCAAGAGAGCGTTTGCCACCCCGGGATTTGCACCGCGGGCACAGGGCACACAGGGGAAGCCGCCCCTTAATCATCACCGGAGGGAGGGAGAGAGGAACCAAGCTGGGAAAACAAGAAGTAACTAGCTGCCAACGCATGCCCCCAAACCCGCGCCGGTCCCCGAGGGGCCGCATGGGCCTCCAACAATCAAAAACAAGAATTAAAAAAAAAAAAAAAAAAAAAAAAAGGAAGAAAGAAAACACATTTAAAAAGGAAAAAGGAGGAGGAGGGTTTGACGTGTATTTTTAGTTGCTTAGCGCAGCCCTGAAATATTTCGGCAGCCACTCCCTCCGCGTCGCAGGCGGCTGGTGTGTAACTATTCCTGTGCTGCCTCCCCGGCGAGGCACAGAAGTTATGAGTCACCACGGGGCAGCCAGCAGCGTCGTGCCACAGTGCCAGTGCCAGAGACATGGCCCCGGAGCTGCCACCGGCTCGGCCACCACGAAAATGTCACGGGAAGGGAGCAGGGAGAGTTTCCACGGTGGCCTTTGCTTGGTGTGTGTCCCCCCCCCCTCACCACCGCCAACCCAGCCCGTCTTTCCGGCTGGGACGTGTTCGCCCTGCCAGGCTGTGCACACCCACCCACGCCAGCAGCAAAGCTCAGACCTTTTTCCTCCTCTCTGCTTGTTGCTTTTATCTCGCTCCTCCCTGTTTTTGTTTTTTTTTTTTTTTTTTTTTGTTTGTTTTTTTTTTTTTTGTTTGTTTTTTTTTTGTTTTGTTTTGTTTTGTTTTGTTTTTCAGCCAGGGCTTGCCTCCCTGCACCCCTCCCTGCGCTCCCATGGGGCAGGGTTGGAAGCACACGACAGCCCCAGACACCCGTTTTTTTTGGGGGGGGGAAAGGCCCAAAGCCGGAGCTGAGGGTCGCATCGACGCCCAGGCTTGAGGCCGCTCTTGCACAGAGCCATCTCCCACCCAACCCGCTGCCCTGTGGGGCCAGTTGCCCTCGCAGGGGCTGCGCTGCAGCTCGGGACAAAAATATTCCTACAAGAGGTGGAAAAAGGAAGGGGAGAGGCAAGCAGGGAAGGCTGCTAAAGCCTGTGGTTGTAATTAAATGAAAGCAGAACTTAACGAGCTCCAACGCCTGGCCCCAGAGCTTCTCCAGGAGATAAGGCGTAGAGGACTCTACCCTGAGCCAAAGCCAAAGGTCCCATTGTTGTGGTGAAGATTTATCTGGCCAGAACAGACCCTAAAAATCCAGACAGCGCTGCAGTCGTTTCCTTTTTCACCAAGGCAGCTGCAACACATGGAGTTTCTGTGGCTGGAGGGACGCAAAAGGGAGGGAGCAGGTTGGGAAGGGAAAGTCTGACACAGGGCTCAGCCTGGGCTTTGTTAAAATGCCACACGGGTGTTTACGTCGAGACCGAGTTTCCAGGAGGGAGGACACACGCGCCCCATTCCCATCGCCTGGAACTGGCCCCTTGGCAGAAGCCGGCTCACCCAGGACGGGGCTCAAGTGCTGGTGCTGCTGGTTAACGCCACGCCAAGGAAAGGCGGCCGAAGAGAACACATGACTGCTGTTAGAAACCAAAGGTTTAACCCGTCTGGTTGGGGATTTATTCCTTATACCAGGGCTGGGAGCAAGGGTTTAGGCAAAGCCGGCTGGGGGTGGGAGCGCGCGCGGGGTCAGGCTGGGCTCAGCGCCGCTGCAGACAGACAGAGTCGTTTTGCAGAGGTTGGCGATTTATTCCTACTCACCACTGCGCACCAGTTCTATAAACATTAAAAAAATAAGTATATATAAAAGCATGTTCTTTACTCCTTTTCAATACAGTGGTGATGGCAGAGAGTAGGCTTCAATATGGGAATCAGTTGTAAAAAAAAAAAAAAAAAAAAAAACCAACCAAAAGAAAACCCAAAAGAACTGTTCAGAACAAGTCACAATATCAGCTTTTCCCCTAAAATTAACCTATTTCATCCATTCAGGGGGTTGAGGCACAGCCAGAGCCTCTTTCTTCCCCTCCGTGCCCCCGTGCAGACATTCAATTCAGATCAGCCAGGCTATTTTGCGGGTGCATTTTGCTCATGGGACCCTGCACCCCGTGGGATGGAAGACTGGAGCAACCCAACCCGGGAATTCACAGGAGCTTTCTTAACCTACACGCTCACACACTGGTCTATGTCCCCAAGGAAGGATAATCGGTGTCCAGAAAAGGAAATGACAAGTACATATAGTGAAGTCAATCACTAGATACCAGAAGAAATAAGCTTCAGAAATCCTGTCAGAGTTCAGGACTTGGTGTCACAGGCATGAGGGAGAGACTTTTCGCAGTGGGAGGAAAAATTAAATCAACTTAACAGCTCGGTTGTTTTTCAGAAAATAAACACACCAAATGAGAAGTAAGGGGCACACCAGCCTTCTGCAAGAAAACACAGAAAACCCTTTCCTTTAAAGGAAACTTCTGATCTGAAGTCAAATTAGTAATACGCTAATTGGGAAACCCTCATTTATCACAAAGCTCTTTTGGAAACAACCCTTGAAGGCCAATGCAACGTTCATTC